GATGAGGGGAAGGGTCTGAGTCTCTCTCCCTCATCCCCTCAGACCCTCATCTCCCTCATCCCCCTTGTCCTGTAGAAGGGGGATGAGGGGGATGTGGGGGATGTGGGGGATGTGGGGGATGAGGGTCTGAGTCCTGACTTGCAAAGGATAGAGTGCCCCGTTGATCTCTCCACGTCCTCTTCTCCCCCCCCCCTCCCCCTCCCCCCTTCCCCTCTCCGCCGCTTCCCCTCCCATTCTCTCTCCTCAGCCACCCTATGTTGTAAGTTCTCTGGGAGCGATTGGTTCGAGTGCATGCACATATCTATCTAGGGCCTGCACATCGTGAGATGAAATGCCTCAAATGTTCTGTCCTGTGTGCTATACTTTCCCCCACATGCTCGCATGCCGGTACTACATGTGTATGCGGATGGATTGGCCTGATGACATGGCATGGCATGGCATGACATGGATGGCCTGGCATGGCCTGGCCTGGCATGGCCTGGCATGGCATGGCATGGCCTGGCATGGCATGGCATGGCATGGCATGGCATGGCTTGGCTTGGCATGGCATGGCTTGGCATGGCATGGCATGGCATGGCTTGGCATGGCATGGTATGGCATGGCATGGCATGGCATGGCATGGCTTGACATGGCATGGTGTCATGAGTGGCGGTGTGCAGACTTTCAGCGACACATTGAGTGCATGTGGTGCGGGCCTCACACTCATCGATGCCCTGGTGAGCCATGAGCCATGAGCCATGAGCCATGAATCATGAAGTTTGGGAGCAGCAACTCATGGGCTCGCCTCGCCTCGTCACACGCGCACACAAGTTCACATGTATCGCCACCCATGACAGCTCGGATTATCACCCAGAGCTGCGCTTGTTCTGTAACTTCACGTCTCCCCTTCTCCCCCCCTCTGCCACCTTCCCTGCCTCCTTTCCCTTGGCCCTCTTTCTCCCTCCGCCCCCCTTCCCCAGGTAGCAGCAGAGGAGCTCAACCCAGGCGTGAACCCCCCAGCAGGCTTCGCTCTAGTCCACCCCACGGGCCACCATGCTGTGCACGCCAGCGCCATGGGCTTCTTCCCCGTGGATCTCGTGGCCGTGGCTGCTCACTCACTCACTTGCTCACATCACCCTCATTGCATATCCCCCCACCACCGCTTTCTCTCCCTCTCATAGCTCTTCCCCCTCCCTCCCTCCCTCCCTCTCACTCCCCATCTCCCCCCGGTCCCCCGGGGCCTCCTCCACACCCCCAGGTAGCAGCAGAGGAGATCAACCCAGGTGTGATTCCCCCAGCGGGCTTTGCCTTAGTCCGCCCCCCAGGCCACCACGCAGTGCACGCGAGCGCCATGGGCTTCTGCCTCGTGGACCACGTGGCCGTGGCAGCAAGATACGCACAGAGCAAGGGGCTCAAGCGCGTGTTCATTGTGGACTTTGACGTGCACCATGGGAATGGCACACACGACCTGTTCTACAACGACCCAGATGTTTTCTTCCTGTCAACCCACCAGGTGTGTGTGTGTGCGCGCGCGTGCAGGAGAAGGGAGTGTGTGAGTGTGCGTGGGCGGAGGTGGGGGGCCCGCAGGGTGTTGGTGTGTTTGGTGTGGTGTCTTCTGTCCCCATGGGCTTCTGCCTTGTGGACAACGTGGCCATGGCAGCACTATACTGATACGTGCAGAGCAAGGGCCTCGGGAGGGTGTTCATTGTGGACTTTGACGTGCACCATGGGAATGGCACACACGATCTCTTCTACAACGACCCAGATGTTTTCTTCCTGTCAACCCACCAGGTAGGGCCCACCCACCAGGTAGGGATGTGTGATGTGGAGGGGGGAGAGGGGGGTGCGGGGTTGGAGGGTGGTTGGATTGGGAGTGTGTTTGCGGTGGAAAAAGGGGGCGGTGTGTGGTTAACTTTTGAGTCGATTCAGAAGCAGCTGTGTTTGCGGTGGAAACCAGGGGCGGTCTGCGGTTCGTCAGAAGCGTTGAGTGGGGAGTTCTTTTTCTTTCTGGACTTGGCAAGTTGTCGTGGTAGTGGTGGTTGTATGGTGACCATCTGATGCTCGCTCCATGCTGAATGCTCAGAGCGCGTTGCTCGCCTTGGTCAATCGTTCTTCTTCTCGTTCTTCTCATTCTTCTTCTCATTCTTCTTCTCATTCGCCTCTGTATCCTGCACTTCGTTCCGCCTCCCTGCTTCCCTCGAATGGGAGCAGCACACGCCTGAAGAGTCTATTTTTTAGGCGCCTCAGAAATAGACTCCTCACGCATGTATTTTGAGGTGCTCAGATCAGATCTCAGCGTGTTGCTAGTCTTGCGCATAGCTCAATGTTTCGTCTCTGTATCCTGCACTTCGTTCCGCCTCCCTGCTTCCCTCAAGTGGGAGCAGCACACACCTGCAAGCAGCAGGTGCAGTGCTGTTTTGGTCTCATGCAGTGGCTGGCTTTTATACGTGCACACAGTAACCAACGCAGTCTGGTTACCACATAGTGGTAGCACTGCTTGGAGCTTGCAAAGCCAGTACTCCTGGTTCTTTGGTTTCCCTTCCTTGCCTATGTGTGGAATGTTTCTTTCCATGCTTTGATGGCAGGGGAAGTGGCAAATCAGCAAGCACATATTCGTCTCATCGCTTCGCTTTTGTTGAATCTTATTCACTCCCTTGAGAGCATCTGCCTTCCTTTCACTTCCCTCCCCTGGCAATTTCCTTTCTATCATGCATCCTGTCGATAAGCCATCGCCAGCAGCTTTTCATACCCATCTTCTTAACACCTCTGCATCGTACTATTTCTCATCCTCCTCTCCCATTGGACCCTTCTCATTGCATCCTGCGCATCCACTTTTCTTCCGAGCAGGAGGGTTCGTATCCGGGCACTGGTCGGTTGGATGAGGTGGGGCAAGGGGCAGGCGAGGGCACGACAATAAACATTCCCCTGCCCGGAGGGGCTGGAGATATTGCCATGGCAACAGTTGTGGATCGGCTTGTAGCACCGGCTGTAGCACGGTTCAAGCCAGATATTATTCTGGTGTCTGCTGGGTGAGTGGGGGTTTTATAAATTGGGGAAGGGGGGAAAAGGCGGGAGGGGGGGGGGGGAGCATTTGATAAGTTGGCTTGACAGGAGCAACCCCGAATCATGTATTTCTCCCACCTCCTTTCCCCACTCGTTAAACCTTTGCAGATATGATGCGCACTACCTTGATCCACTAGCGTCCCTTCAGTTTCGCACATCTACCTACCACCGCCTGGGCCAACAACTCTCGCAACTTGCGCGACAGCACTGTAACGGTCGGCTAGTGTTTTTCCTTGAAGGCGGTTATAATGTGAAGGCACTTGCTGGATCGGTAGCTGACACTGTACGGGGAGTTATTGGGGATGTTCCTATCGCGTCTGGAGGCTTAGATGTAGACGAGGCAATTTATGAAGAGCCGGAAAGCAAGGTGGATGACGTGATCGAGCATTGTCGTACCATTCACTCACTATAGGAAAGGAAATATTCTGCTGGTTTGTCTAGCTTTGCTCTCCCTAGTTTTGTTGATAATTTTCTGAAGAAAATCACGTCTTAAAACTTTCGAACTCTTCATACCCTCACGAGATGTAACATCGGATCACGTAACTTTCGATGAGACTCTTTCGCTCGATCTCTGCTCTGTTCCTACCCTCTCTCCTCGCTTTTTTTTTCTCGTTCTGGTTTTGTTTCCTGCTCCAGCTGCTTCTGATCAAGCACCTCCTTTCCCGCAGCCCCGTCCTCTCGCTCTTGGCGCCCCTCGTAGCTCGCGGGTTTTCCCTCGCCTTCTCACTTTGCCGGCACTCAGGCCAAGCATCGGAGGTTTGACCTGATTGCTTTCGATTTCACGGACGGATTCGAACAAGTGCTGAGACGAGGTGTTGTGGAGCCCTTTCATCTGTAGTGAGCCAAGGATCTGAACAACGGATCTGATAACGTTGCGTGGGCGGCATTTGCAACGCATTTCCGATCTCGGGTAAAGACGGATCAGAAGAAGAATAGAAGAGTAAGGAGAGAAAGAAGGAAGGAGGAGGAGGAGGAGCAGGAGCAGGAGTATAAGGGAAGGCGGTGGTGGTAGTAGTGCAGGCGAAGCGGGAGGAGTGTAGGATCGACGGAGCGCGATGGATTTCGGCGGGTCGCCTAGCAGCTCCGCGGCGTCGATGCCGAGCAACGACGTGGTGATGGATCAAGTGAAGCAGCAGCTCGCACAGCAATACGCCGAGGAGTTCTTCGCGGTAAGATGGCAATGGTTCCTTCGCAGTCAGTGGTACGGGTGAGCTTTAGAGTCGACGTGGTGATGGATCGAGTGAAGCGGTAGCTCGCACAGCAATACGCCGAAGACTTCTTCGCGGTAAGATGGCAAAGGTTCCTTCTCAGTCAGTGGCACGGGTGAGCTTTAGAGTCGACGTGGTGATGGATCGAGAGAAGCGGTAGCTCGCACAGCAATACGCCGAAGACTTCTTCGCGGTACGTTGGCACATGCAGAATTGTAGAGAAGCTTTTGAGTCGCCTCGAATGCATGGATCGAGTGAAGCAGCAGCTCGCACAGCAGTATGCCGAAGAGATCTTCGCGGTACGTACGTCTGCATAGTCCCAGTACGCCAGAGTAGAAGAGGAGGAAACTATGAGCATAAGAATGCTTCCTCTGGATACTCCGTTGCACCAAACGATCTCCTTCCCTGCGACGATCTCCTTCCCTGCGACGATCTCCGTCCCTGCGATGATCGCCGTCCTGCGACGATCGCCGTCCTGCGACACCACGTTTCCCCGGGACCCGGTGTCTGGCCTGTTCACGCTGGACACTTCGTCCCCCCTGGTGAGGGCGTCCCCCCAGGTGCCTGCCTCTACCCAGGTCGCCACGGCTTGCTCGTGTCGGTCGCTCACCCAACCGTCGCTGATCCTCGGTTATAGATCTGACCTTCTGAGCCAACACGGTCAATCGCACGCGCTGTGCGTTAGTGTGTTGGAAACGAACCTTAGCGACAGGTTCGGATCCGACCAGCGGGGTCGGATCCGAGAGGCTGGGTTAGTTCCGAAGGTTCTGATTTCAAGCTCCAATGGCTAGCCGGCAAACTTTTTTACCTTTTTGTTCAATCTCCGTTGTATTGTTCTCTTAGTCGTCCTGCTCTCCCTCTCCTCCAGTTGCCCTCCTGACATCCCCCACCCGTGGCAATTCTGCCCTGTATTCTCCCTCTCTTCTCCCCTCGCCTCCCGAACTACCCTCACCCCCCGTTCCCCTCCATCCCTCCCCATCCCTTCCCATCCATTCCCATCCTTTCCTACCTCTCCATCCCTTCCCTCAAACCCCCCCCTCCCCCCTTCCCCCCCCCCACCCACCAGGTTGTACGAGACAAGTGCTTTGCTAAGTGCATTCCCAAGCCAGGGTCGTCCATAAGCAGCAGCGAGGGCACATGTGTGACGCGCTGCGTGGAGCGATACATAGAGGCCACGGGGATCGTGTCGAAAGCTGTGCTACAGCTGGGGCAACGGTGATTGTTTTAAGTTGATTCTAAGTTGATCTTGTCTGAAAAAACAGACCTGTGCGTGGACTGTGGGGAATTGTGGACTGATACCGTATGTAAAAGAGACCTGGGGGATTGTGCTGCAACTACTGTAGTCGTGTCCAAGTAGTACCTTACCTACTACAGCTTGGTTGGTGGTGATTGCACCGATCGCGTGAGTGAAGGCTGTCTTCTTGAAGCTAACCTTGTTCCTTGATCAGGGGTGAGTTGAGGGGCCTCGAAGTGTTTCCTGATCAATACTGTATCATGAGCTGCTAATTGTACACAGAGCCACTACTGGTGTACAAGCTCTTGACCAAGTGTTTCGCTGTGCAGCATTGTCGACTCACAGTTAGAACCTCAAGTCACCACTAACCAGAGTTAAAAAGGCTTGTTAATAGTGGGTCAGTGCGCCCATAACCCCCCAGTCTTTGCACCTGTGGCCCTTCCCCGAGGATCTTCTCAAGGGTAACCCCCGGCGGGTCACTCGACACCCCCCCTCGCTAGGATAGGTGGAAGACACGAGCGCCTCTGCAGCGCTAGCACTGGGAATTGAACCCGAGTCACCAACCCTATGATAGCATGTCCACCGAGAAGCAGCGCTAGGATGCAGGAGCAGTATTTACATCAGGGAGAAGCATAACCACGCAGTTACGAAAGGCATGGAATGGGACTGTGCTGCATGCCCTGGAAAATGGCTGGGGGTTCTCCCCATGCACATGGCAACCTTGGCAGCAAACCAGCAGGTCGCGTGCCATTGTGTGTGTTCGTCTAAGCAAATGTTACCGGTACTTCAGAGCGTTGGCTTGGCTAGTGTCAGCAGCAGCAGCAGCATTGACAGACAGTGTGGCCTCCTTGTTGAGACACACAACATCCATGCTTGCGCACCAGCTTCTGGTTGTGCATGTGCATGTGCATGTGGTTGTGCATGTGCATGAGCCCGTGCCTGTGCATGCGCTCGTGTCATGTGCCGGTTACACAACGTGAAGCTCGGCAAGAAACAGCGCAACGAGGTCGATAAAGAGCATGTGAGAGCCGTCCACATGCTGCAGGTCCAGCAGGTACTTGTCCTCCCGCACCCGCATCAGCTGCCGAGGGGGGAGAGGGGGGAATGGTGAAAAGGGGTGGGAAGAGGTGGGGAGGGGACAGTTGAGGCAGTTTTCTAGTCGACTCAAAAGCTGACCACATGCTGCAGGCCCAGCAGGTACTTGCCCACCTGCACCTGCATCAGCTGCAGAGGGCACAGTTTGGGGAGGGGTGGGGGGAGGTGGAGAGGGGTGGGGACGGAAAGTTGAGAAGCCTCTGTGAGTCGACCCAGGAGGTGTCATGTCCACATGCTGCAGGTCCAGCAGGGACTTGTCCTCCCGCACCCGCATCAGCTGGAGAAGGGAGAGTGTTGGGATTGGAGGGGATTGGTGGGGAGGGGAAATTCGAGGTGAATGTTGAGTTGAATCAAAAGCCGTTGACATGCTGCAGATTCAACAGGTTCTTATCCTCCTGCACTCGCATTGGCTAGAGACGAAGCAGAGTGCAGAGGGGTGCAGAGGGGTGCAGAGGGGTGCAGAGGGGAAAGGCGGGGAGAGTGGCAGAAGGGAGATGGCTGTGTGAGTTGTTCTTGGGGTGAATGGAAAGGGAAAACAACCACTGCCACCATTTTTTTTTTCTTATTCTTTTAAGATGGAACGAGATCCCGCAACGATTAGTTTTGAGGCGCCTCAAAACTGAACTTCTTTTAAGATGGAACGAGATCGGGCAATGATACTTTGAGTGAGGCAACGAATTATCGGAATGAGTATGCCACGATCGATGCACCCACAAGGCAAGCTGACGGCTGCACGCAAGGGATCGGTGCAAGCCACGACGCCATACCTGCATTTCGAATCGGAGGACTCTCCTCAGCTCCCCAGACCACAGAGCCTCTGTCGCCCGCTGCTCCTGCTGCTGCCTCTGCTTCTCCTGCTGCTGCTCCTGCTGCTCCTGCTGCTGTTTCTGCTGCGACTGAGCCTTCTCCCACTCCCCAGTTCCCCCACACCTTGCACTGGTATCAGAGCTACCCTGCCACCCTTCCATCTCCATCCCTCTATTGCGTCCCCTCTCCCCACCCACCACACCATCACCACCACCACCGCTACCACCACCACCACTATCACCACCACCACCGCTACCACCACCACCATCGCGACCACGGCTCCCATCACAACCAGCCGCACTACCAGGAAGAGCTTCCGAGCAGCACTGTCCCTCTCTACACATTCCCACACCCTCACCAATACCCATGCCCAAGCCCAAGCCCGCTTCTGTATCCATTTCCGGAGCAACTTTCGCGCCCTTTGACTCCCAGCCCACGCCTGCACCCATTCCCATCGCTGCTCCTGGAGCTGCTCCTACTGCGGCTGCGGCTGCGGTCTGGGGCTGACCCGTGTCAGTGTGTATTTGTAGGGGGCGCGAGGGGGGAGGGGCTTCCCAGCGGCATCGAACGGTGTGATTGCCGCTCTTCTTCCATCGCACGTGGAGCGCGTGCAGCGCCCGCAGCACCTCTGACATTATGTCCACTGGTTGAGCTCGAGACTGCGAGGAGGAAAGACGGAGAAAATGGTAGGAACGAGTAAAAACGGTTGAAATGGCTTCCCAGCAGCATCGAGCGGTGTGGTTGCCGCTCTTCTTCCATCGCACGTGCAGCGCATGCAGCGCCCGCAGCACCTCCGACATTATATCCACCGGCTGAGCTCTAGACTGCAAGGGGGAGAGATGGAAAATTCCGTGTGTAAGTAGTTTCGTTTTGAGACGTTTTGAAACTAAACAACTTCAGATATTATATCCACCAGCTGAGCTCTAGATTTGAGGCGCCTCAAAACTAGAGCTCTAGACTGCGTGGAGAACAGCATTGAGTAGAGGCGGGCGAAGCTGAGTACGCCATTGACTCGGCCATTGTAGCTAGCAACTCGGGCATTGAGCCCGCTGGCTGGCTGGGCTCTAGACTGCGAGGAAATGGGGTTGATGACACTTTGAAGGTGACCAAAGACATAGTTTAGAGTGCACCAGAGAGTCGCAGCAACTCAGACATCTTGTCCACTCACCGGGCTTGAGACTGCCAGGAGGAGAAGGGGCAAATGGGAGAGACGGGTGGAGGGGTCTGATGGGAGGTGAAGGGATGTGAAGGGGTGTGAAGGGGTCTGAGGGGGTGTGATGGTGAAATTCTTACCTGCAGCCCAAGAGCCCATTTCCGCTCGGCCACGACTCGGCAGTGGTGGTGCACGGGAGAGCCCCCCATCATACCTCCGCCCACTCCCCCACTGCCCATGCCCCCATGCATGCCCATGGCCATGGTAGCCGCGTTGCCCCCCACAGATCGCCGCTGCTGGATGGCGTGTGACGGCGCGTGCGAGTCACGCGCACCCGCTGCTGCCAGCTCCATCAGGTGCCCGTGGGACTGCTAGGATAGGGGCGGCGGGAGGGGCGGGGCGGAATGGGAGATGATGTTAGGTGCCCCTGGGACTGTCAAGTGAACTCGAGGGGCGTGCTGTTCCCGCTGCTGCCAGCTCCATCAGATGCCCGTGGGACTGCTAGGATAGGGATAAGGGGGCGCAATGGGGGATGATGTTAGGTGCCCGTGTGACTGGTGGGAGGGGTGGATTGGGCGAGGATGTTAGGTGCCCGTGTGACTGGTGGGAGGGGTGGATTGGGCGAGGATGTTAGGTGCCCGTGTGACTGGTGGGAGGGGTGGATTGGGCGAGGATGTTAGGTGCCCGTGTGACTGGTGGGAGGGGTGGATTGGGCGAGGATGTTAGGTGCCCGTGTGACTGGTGGGAGGGGTGGATTGGGCGAGGATGTTAGGTGCCCGTGTGACTGGTGGGAGGGGTGGATTGGGCGAGGATGTTAGGTGCCCGTGTGACTGGTGGGAGGGGTGGATTGGGCGAGGATGTTAGGTGCCCGTGTGACTGGTGGGAGGGGTGGATTGGGCGAGGATGTTAGGTGCCCGTGTGACTGGTGGGAGGGGTGGATTGGGCGAGGATGTTAGGTGCCCGTGTGACTGGTGGGAGGGGTGGATTGGGCGAGGATGTTAGGTGCCCGTGTGACTGGTGGGAGGGGTGGATTGGGCGAGGATGTTAGGTGCCCGTGTGACTGGTGGGAGGGGTGGATTGGGCGAGGATGTTAGGTGCCCGTGTGACTGGTGGGAGGGGTGGATTGGGCGAGGATGTTAGGTGCCCGTGTGACTGGTGGGAGGGGTGGATTGGGCGAGGATGTTAGGTGCCCGTGTGACTGGTGGGAGGGGTGGATTGGGCGAGGATGTTAGGTGCCCGTGTGACTGGTGGGAGGGGTGGATTGGGCGAGGATGTTAGGTGCCCGTGTGACTGGTGGGAGGGGTGGATTGGGCGAGGATGTTAGGTGCCCGTGTGACTGGTGGGAGGGGTGGATTGGGCGAGGATGTTAGGTGCCCGTGTGACTGGTGGGAGGGGTGGATTGGGCGAGGATGTTAGGTGCCCGTGTGACTGGTGGGAGGGGTGGATTGGGCGAGGATGTTAGGTGCCCGTGTGACTGGTGGGAGGGGTGGATTGGGCGAGGATGTTAGGTGCCCGTGTGACTGGTGGGAGGGGTGATCTCAAGGGCTTAGTCGATCCTGCTGCCGCCAGATCCATCAGATGCCCGTGCGACTGGTCGCTGGTGGGAGGGGTGGGTCAGGGGATGATCTTAGGTGATATAGCTGGCAGTTTTTGAGGCGCCTCAAAAATAGATCTTAGGTGATATAGCTGGCAGTTTTTGAGGCGCCTCAAAAATAGATCTTAGGTGATATAGCTGGCAGTTTTTGAGGCGCCTCAAAAATAGATCTTAGATGATAGAGCTGGCAGTTTTTGAGGCGCCTCAAAAATAGATCTTAGGTGATAGAGCTGGCAGTTTTTGAGGCGCCTCAAAAATAGATCTTAGATGATAGAGCTGGCAGTTTTTGAGGCGCCTCAAAAATAGATCTTAGGTGATAGAGCTGGCAGTTTTTGAGGCGCCTCAAAAATAGATCTTAGGTGATATAGCTGGCAGTTTTTGAGGCGCCTCAAAAATAGATCTTAGGTGATAGAGCTGGCAGTTTTTGAGGCGCCTCAAAAATAGATCTTAGGTGATAGAGCTGGCAGTTTTTGAGGCGCCTCAAAAATAGATCTTAGGTGATAGAGCTGGCAGTTTTTGAGGCGCCTCAAAAATAGATCTTAGGTGATATAGCTGGCAGTTTTTGAGGCGCCTCAAAAATAGATCTTAGGTGATATAGCTGGCAGTTTTTGAGGCGCCTCAAAAATAGATCTTAGGTGATATAGCTGGCAGTTTTTGAGGCGCCTCAAAAATAGATCTTAGGTGATATAGCTGGCAGTTTTTGAGGCGCCTCAAAAATAGATCTTAGGTGATATAGCTGGCAGTTTTTGAGGCGCCTCAAAAATAGATCTTAGGTGATAGAGCTGGCAGTTTTTGAGGCGCCTCAAAAATAGATCTTAGGTGATTTAGCTGGCAGTTTTTGAGGCGCCTCAAAAATAGATCTTAGGTGATAGAGCTGGCAGTTTTTGAGGCGCCTCAAAAATAGATCTTAGGTGATAGAGCTGGCAGTTTTTGAGGCGCCTCAAAAATAGATCTTAGGTGATAGAGCTGGCAGTTTTTGAGGCGCCTCAAAAATAGATCTTAGGTGATAGAGCTGGCAGTTTTTGAGGCGCCTCAAAAATAGATCTTAGATGATAGAGCTGGCAGTTTTTGAGGCGCCTCAAAAATAGATCTTAGGTGATAGAGCTGGCAGTTTTTGAGGCGCCTCAAAAATAGATCTTAGGTGATAGAGCTGGCAGTTTTTGAGGCGCCTCAAAAATAGATCTTAGGTGATAGAGCTGGCAGTTGCCCTTGCCCGTGCCCGTGGGACTGCCAGGTTAACTCAAGGGCGTTGTTGATCCCGCTGCTGCCAGCTCCATCAGATGCCCGTGGGACTGCTAGGATAGGGGGGCAGTGGGGATCGGTAAGGGGGATGATGGGATGAGGACAGGCTGTGAGATATTGCAATTAAGCGCCCCTTCTGTTGCTGCGCCTGCTGCTGGGGGGATGATGGGAAGATGATGGGGGAATGATGGGGGAATGATCGGGGATGATGGGGAGATGATGGGGCCATGCAGCCGTGAGTGATGATTTTCAAGAATTCGAAAAAATGTCATGTCTCGTTTCTCTTACGTGAAAGGTTGTTCTTGAGACGTCTTTAGAAAAATCTCTGACCTTGCACATCCATGCATGTCAATCCTCCCTTCCTCTCCGCCCGTCTGGTGCGAGAGGGGAAAGCCACACCAACCATCATGCGCTCAGATTGTTGCGCCATGCCATGCCAGGCGTCCCCATGCGACCCCAGCTCACCTGTTGATTGCCATGCCAGGCGACCCCAGCTCACCTGTTGATTGCCATGCCAGGCGACCCCAGCTCACCCGTTGTTTGATCTCTTCTATCTCAAACCCCAAATAGCCTGCTGCTATGCGGCTCCTGTTGTCCAGCATGAGGTAGTATGCCACTGTGGCCTGGAGTGGGGTGGGGCGTTGGGTGGATGAGAGGGGGGGTCGGGTGGGGAAGGAGCGTGAACAGGGGGGCAGAGAAGGGGGGAGGACGGCACAAGGACACGTAAAGTGCACTGACGATTGATGCTATTCAACTCCTGCTGACTGCATGAGGTAGTATGCCACCGTGGCCTGGAGGACTGGGGGATGGAGCCGGGCGAGCGGAGGGGTGGGTGGTGGGTGAGAGGAGTGGAGGGGAGGGTAGTGAAGGAGTATCAGTAGTGAAGGTGAGCAATGCAGTGAAGGAAAGGGCAGAGCGTTTACCAGCCTGCCAGGTCCCAATGCAACAGACTACCGTCCCAATGCCCTGAGTGTAAATCCAAAACCCGAAACCTTGAACCCAGGACCCAGACCCCAGAATTCAAAACCAATGCACCTCAGCACTCGTATTGCTGCTCTACTCTGCCCACGCTGCCATACCTTGGTGGCTTGTCTGTTTCTGAGCGCCTCTGTGAGCTGGTGCTGGTCAAACCCCATCTTCACCACTGCTCCCATCACGTCTTGGTCTATCTGTTGACGCATGGGTGTACAGGTTGGGAGGCATACAGGGTTGAAGGAGGTTTGGGGAAATCTGAAAATGGAGAAAAACCAGCGGGAAAAAGGCTTTAGGGACGAATCAATAAGAAAGAGCTTGACGCTTCTTCAAAAGCAACAGGTACAAGAGTTTCTATCCTGATCTTTTGCTAAGACAGGTGCAGGATTTTCTGAGTTATTTGTAGCCCTTCGCTCTTGAAATTTCTCAGAAATTACTCCACTGTTTCTGTCCTGTTCTTTTGCTAAGGCAGGTACAGCAATTTCTTAGTAATTTGCAGCCCTTCATTCTGCAAGCATCTGAAATGGAAACTCCTAACTAACCACAACTTTGAGAAACCGAAATTTCTTGCCTGATCCTTCAAGCCAGACTCGCGCCGTGTGATCATCCATAACATCTTCAGCGTTGTCATTCAGTCAAGTTATACCATTTTGACCGCTCCAAACCTTGCTGTCTCATCCATCCTTGTGACAGCTAGAAGAGCACACGGTGGCAGAGGGGGCTGTCTTGTTGCCTGCTGTTAAGTCAATCACCCAATGAGCGTTCCCGATGTGGGGAAAACCACAGATCAAGGTTCGATTGAACCACTTGGGGATAGTAGCGATGAGTACGTGTCACATGCAGCATTTTTCCCAGTAACATCTGTGGAACATCTGTGGAACATCTGTGGAACACTGTGCCGTAAAACACATCAATGTTGACAGCTTATTCAACACCGAAGCATCCTACGGCACGACATCCCCCAGATGTTCCCAGGCAAGCACTACATGTAAAACATACTCATCACCTCCCTCAGGTTCCATGTGCTCTTGAAGGTGAGTGATTTGAAAGCTGGCGACAAGACAGCACCCTCTGCTGCCATGTGCTTTCCCAACAGCCAACTGGTTCCACGAATGGGCAACCCGAGAGGTTGGTTGCATCATCAATGTTATGGATGTGAACATGGACGCGAGTCATACGGTGTTATGCCCACTACCCACCCACCCAACCACCCACCCAACCACCCACCCAACCACCCACCCAACCACCCAACCAACCACCCACCCAACCACCCACCCAACCACCCACCCAACCACCCACCGACCATCCGCCCCCTACCCACGAACAGTCACCCACCCCCCAACCACCCACCCACCCATTTGACATGCTCCACAGTGTCTGGCGGCCGCACAGACAGGCAGCGTGGCAGCTTGGAGGTTTCAGCTGCTTCTCCTTGCCACCCCACAATCACTGACCCTCTCTAGCAGCAGCTCGCTAGCCCCCTATTCCCTCCCCCCCACCACAAACCCTTCACACACCCACCCTTCACCCACCCGTTTGGCTTGCTCCACAGTATCTGGCTGCCGCACAAGCAGGTAGCGTAGCAGCTTGGAGGTTCCAACTGATTCTCCTTGCCGCCCCACAACCAATGGCCCTCTCAAACAGCAGCACTCTAGCATCCCATGCCCTACCGCCCTACCGCCCAACCCCCATAAGCCACCGCACCCGTTGGGCCAGCTCAACAGCGTCGGGAGGGCACGGCGAGGTAGCGCGGCAGCTTGGCGCAGAACCAGGGGTGCTGGCGGATCTCGGGGATGGTGATGCGCAGCAGGGGGGTCCTTGAGACAACCCCACCATCCCTCAATCCAGCAGCCAGCTCACCTCACCGCCCACCAACCTACCCACTCGGTCAACAGCACTTCACCACCCAAAAATCCATGGTCCACCCATCATCCACCCATCCAGGCACCTCCTACCCACCACCCACCACGCACCCGTTTGGCTTGTTCCACTGTGTCTGGGGGCGGCACAGCCAGGTAGCGCGGCAGCTTGGCGCAGAACCAGGGGTGCTGGCGGATCTCGGGGATGGTGATGCGAAGCAGGGGGTCCACCAGCAGCATGCGCGGAATGAGGTCGCGCGCTCCAGAAGAGAGGTTGCCGGGGATGGTGTAGATGCCGCCCTGCAAGGGACGGGGATGGGGGAGAATGGGTGCGGGAAGGAAGGGATCTCGGGGATGGTGATGCGCAGCAGGGGGTCCACCAACAGCATGCGCGGAATGTGGTCGGGCGCCCCCGAGGACAGGTTGCCAGGGGTGGCGTAGATGCCACCTTGCCATACGAGGGGATGCCATACGAGGTTGCCACCGGTGGCTCCTTCCATCCCTCCTGAGCCCTCCTAGTTTCTCCTTTCCTCAATTCGTCTGCTCCTTAACTTCTCTCCCCCCCTTCCACCGATTCATATCTCCTCTCTGCCTGCCCACTCTTCTACTCACCCTGCACAGCATCACACACAAGTAACTACCTACATATTTTTTTATCAGGCTGGTTATGTTCTCGTCGTCAATTGGCAGGCCGCCACACAGCAGCATGTGCCAGTGCCCCACACCACCCACTATCACTGCACCGCACAGCGCAGCACCACACACCACCGTACCTTGATCTTCTTGAAGAGGCTAGGGATGTTCTCATCGTCAAACGGCAGGCTGCCACACAGCAGCGCGTACAGAATGACGCCTGAACTCCACACGTCCACCTCTGGCCCCGCATATAGCTTGCCGGAAATGACCTGTTGCAAATGCAAACGCGTAGGGGATGAGACAGCAGGACACGACGTGACATGGCATGGCATGGCATGGCATGAAGATCGGACTTTAGGGAACTCCAGAGATGAACTAAGGTCTGGCATTGTCATGTGGTTTACTCACATAGTCCGTGCACCACATCTTAGCTCATAATACCTACACTGCTCCACAGGCTGTGGCACAGAGGGCGAAACGAGAGCTGCCTAAACAACACACCTTTCATTCGGATCCTACACGAGAGACCATGTCCAGCAGCAAAACGAACCCACACGCACTCTCAAAGAGTCACCTGCTGGCTACCTTCTCATTGAGTGCACCGCCCGAGCCTCAGGAGCAGCGTAGTTGGGTTGGGACTGCCGCAGGACGTCTTTGAAAAGTGCCCAATGCCCCTCGTGCATCACGTTGCTGAGCTCGAGGTGGACTACTATGTTATCTGACTCGATCTTCCCAATGAGTGTATGCTCAAACTCAAACTCACCTGTGGTGGTACCCATTGCCCGTGCCTCTGGAGTAGCGTAGTTCCGGTTGCGGCAGACGTCTTTAGGGAGTGCCCAAGGCCCATCGTCAGTTGGGGCGACCAATAACCATACCTCTGGAGCAGCGCAGGTCCGGCTGCAACGTGATGCGCGATGGGCCTTGGGCACTCCCTTGGGCCTTCAGCGTAGGTCCGGCTGGGCACATCCTTAGGGAGTGCCAAAGGCCCATCGCGCATCACGTTGCTGATCCCGCAGCCTGCAGCCTTTACATTGAGCGGATTTAGACGTCACCTGTCCTGCTTGCCACCGTACTGTACCTCTGGAGCAGCGCGATTCGGCCTGCCGCGCCGCATGACGTCTCCAAGAACTGTCTGCTGCGCATCACGTTGCTGAGCCCAGAGTAGAGTAGCACACTAGCTTCCCAACGAGTGTACTCCCAATTCAAATACACCTACGGCGACCAATAACCGTACCTCTGGAGCAGCATAGTTGGGGCTGCCGCATGATGTCTTCAAGTGCCCATCGCATCGCCCATCACGTTGCTGAGCCCGAGATAGCCTAGTCGGAGATCTTACCTCTGGAGCAGCGTAGTTGGGGCTGCCACAGGACGTCTTTAGGAAGTGCCCGTCGCGCATCACGTTGCTGAGCCCGAAGTCCGCGATCTTGATGTTGCCCTTGGCGTCCAGCAGCAGGTTCTCGGGCTTTAAGTCCCGGTGCACCACCATGTTGCGGTGGCAGTACTCCACCCCACTGATGATCTGCACCATGAAGGGCGGGGGAGGGGAGGAAAGGAAGGGGGAGGAAAAGGGGGAGTAAGAGGGAGGGGAGGGGAAGGGTGTGGATATAAGGTGCCACAACATCTCCTGACTTTTAGTCCCGGAGCACCACCACCGTGTTGCAAGTGATGGCAGCACAGTACTCCACCGCGCTGATACTGCAGGAGCTAGAGGAGAGTGAGGGGAGGCGGGATGTGGGAGGGACGGAGAAAGATCAGCTAGTGATTCAAATACATTCACGAGTGGCAAACCTCAAAAAGGGGGGAAGGGACACGTGTAAGGGCTCTCACATCTCAGAGGCTCAGAGCCCAACTGCTGGAAGAACATGCGTGCCTCGTGAGCACAAAGACGCCCTGGCGGCGTCCCCCGTTCCCCCCAGACCTCCATACCTAAAGCGCTACTACCCACCTGCTGGAAGAATTTCCGTGCCTCGTCCTCGGCCAAGCGACTTGATGATGTAGTCGAAGAGCTCGCCGCACTTGTCGTACTCATCACCACGAAGATGTCCGTTGGGGATCTCTATGGCTCTACCACAGAGTCGTCTCGATACTCATCATACTTCATGATCGCAGAGAAAGACATCCGTGTGGGTTTCTACGACTCAGACGGCTTGAAACTCGTACCCGTGACCCCACAAAGATGCCCTGGCGACCCCCGTCTCCCTCGGAGCACCATACCTGACGTGTAAAGCATCATACCATTATCACCCACCTGCTGGAAGAATTTCCGAGCCTCGTCCTCGGCCAGGCGGCCCTTCTCGACGATGTAGTCGAAGAGCTCGCCGCACTTGACGTACTCCATCACCACGAAGATGTCCGTTGGGGTCTCGATCACCTCGTACTGCCGGATGATGTGCGGATGCATGAACAGCCGCAGGATTTTGATCTCGCGCTTCACTGGCGGGTGGGAGTGAGAGGGGTAGGAGTGAGAGGAGAGGCGGCCGGGGGAGGGGAGAGAATTTGGACTAGAAAGAAGGGAGAAAGATGCTGGTGGGGGTTTTCCGGCACCTCATACAGGCGGAGGATGTACGGATGCTCGAAGCGACGCAGGACCTTGGTTTTGCGCTGCTTTAATGTGCGTCGGAAAAAAGGGAGGTTTCGAAGTGCCGAAACGCAACTCGAAACGCAACCCGAAAGGCAGGGAAATGTCGGCCATCCCAAAGGCAATCGCACCCTAAGTGGGAAAAAAAGAGAGAAAAGGACGACAGAACGAGAGAAAGAAAGAAGATGGCATGCACCACGCCGAGCATTCCATCAAGGGCAGGGCTTACCTTTCTCGTCCATGTCCATGGATCGGATCTTTTTCCGGTTGAGGATCTTAATCGCCACTTTATGCCCCGTCAGTACATGCTCCGCCACTTTCACCTTACCGAAGGAGCCTATACCGAGCGTCTTGCCTAGCCTATAATTCGGTAGATAAAACTCCGCATTCGCCCCGCCGTAACCCCGGCCGTACGAAGCGCCGTCCATGGGGGGAATCGGAGATGTTTATTATGAGATAAGGTTGTGTAACAGGACGCGTAGTGAGGCGACGCAATGACGTGATGCGGCTCGCCGGAATAAGGGCTTGTCGAGGTAAGATAATCGAGCGAGGATGTTCCTAACGAAACTTTGGTGTCGCTACTACTACGTTATGACCCGTATGACGGCCACTACAACGGCCTGTCTGACATTATGATCGTTTCGTTCTGCGACTCGGTTTACGAGAGAGGCAATGGATGGGACACTGCTGTTCTTATCCGAAAGGTATGCCTGTTGAAACTGAGAGGCACCAGATGGAAGCCATTCGGGCCTTTTGGGGATTTTTATTCGACTATATTCGGGCCTAATGGGGATTCTTCCCTGAAATAGGGAGCCTTGGGTTTCCTGCCTGAAGAATCTCGTACAGTACTCTAATTCACTACTGAGTGTTGCAGAAACTCAAACGGGTACTCAAGATTGCAACAGGGAACGTAAGAACAAGCAAAGCACGCGGAAGAGAAATGGCGGCAGCGAACAGATGTTCAGCGCATCAAGATAAGGAAGCGAAGGACCGGACAACGAGGTGCAGTTGCAGCTTGGCAGCGTCATGTTTACTGTATCGTTTGTTGCTGTTCTACGTTTGTTTGAAGCGAAAGCATAAGGTGGACTGGAGGAATGCTGCAAACAACACCGTTGAATGCCAGGAAATCCTCAATTCAAGAAACAGGTGGTCTGCGATGCCGTTTGGTTTACTAAGTTTTTAGCGTGTTACAGAGAGACGGAATACGGTATTGTTCGCTAAATCCACAATTGGGACACTCCCTCAGTATAATAGGCATCTTTTTGGAGTTCCCCTTGTGCAGACGTCCCTTTCGAAGAAGGGATGATGGGCGGGATTTGGAAGAAGTGAGCTGGATAGGGCGTTGCATGACAGGCTGCCACGCTGGTTTCAAATTCGCATGCTGTCGTGGATTGGGCCAGATTTGACGTTCGCCTGAGACGCAGGGCACGCATTCGACGCGACTGCACGTGTGGCCTGGATAGTTTCAGAATGTACATGACTTGGGTTTCGTGGATTCCTGTCGTGAACAGCCGATGTCGCGATGTTCTGAACTTCGTCATTTCGTGGAGGAAACAAGCACCATCTCGCGAACTCTGCGATTGTTACTAGGTTGTGTCCCATTTGCAGAAATGATTGCGTCAGGTATATGAAACTTGACGTGGATGCTGCATTTTGCTGACCTGGCCAGGTGACCCAAGTGGGCACATATGGATACGGATACCGTAAATCGCTGCATAGTGTATGGAGTGTATCATGTATGCAATAGCTACGCAACTACAATGTTCATTCCTTCCCCATTTGCGAAACCAGATGTTGTCACCTAATTGATATGATACTCGTATGATATGGAAGTGAATCTAGAGATGTTAGGTCCTTACAAAATAACCACATAAGGAGGCAAATTCTGTATGGATGGGCAGGGATGAAATAGATTGGAAGGAGGTGGAGTGAACATAGCGAGGACGTCGTGTAGGCCGTCTTCGCATGCTCGATTCTTATGCTGCCACGTGGCTAGATCTCCGTGACACTCCCTAACCAGCTGGACGCGCCCCGGCCTGGGCTCACGAATTCAATCGATAATCACACTCCCTAGGCGCACACGTCGCGGAACCTCTCTATGTTGCTGAAGTCATAACAAGCGAATCTATTTTCACCTGGATTACAGAGATTCCGTCCTTACATCAAATTACGAGCCGCGACTCGGAATTTATGTTTGTCCTTAGTCCTGCCGCAGCAACCTGGGAGCTCATTAAAGGAGGTTGCCGTGGCAGCGCGGTCCAAGTGCCGCTGGGGAAATTAGCTACCGACTCGCCACTATTGCGTCCCAGATCACAGCACCTGCTGCGGTGACGATCGGGCTGACGACTTTATCGTAGCCGGGGATCGCTAAACGGGGATCGCCTCTCAGGCGGGCGTTCCTGCCGATAGGATCTCGATAGGAGCCCTACCGATAGGATCCCTACCGATAGGATCGGTGACGGCAAGCAATCAGCGAGGTGGTGGTGGTGGGAGGGTGGATACGGGCCGCGCGGTTGCTTTTGAGTCGACTCAAGGGGCGGTCAAGGGGCGGTTGTTCCTGTCGACAGGATCATCGGTGGCAGCAATCGGCGTGGCGGTGGTGGAAGGATGGATACGAGCCGCGCGGCGGAAGGGGGCGGAGCGGGGGAAGCGCTGAGGGAAGCTAAGAATGCGAGGGAAGAGGGGGAAGAGAGGAGAGGGAACACGGCGATTGGGGAAAAAACAGGAGAGGTGTCGCGTGGTAGCGGTGGTGACGCGGAGAAGAGCGCTGGGAGCGCGGAAGACGTGGCAAGGCGTGCGGGGAGCGCGGGGGCCACATGCGGAGCGAGCGAGGGAAGCACAGGGGCCACAGGCGGAGGGAGCGCAGGGATCACAGGGAGCGCGGGGAGCCCAGAAAGCGCGGGGGGCGCAGGGAGCGTGGGGGGGAGGAGCGCGGGGAGCGGGAGTGAGAAGCGGGCGGGCGAGGAGGGGGGCGAGGTGCGCGTGTACGTGGACGGCATCTTCGACCTCTTCCACTTCGGCCATGCACAGGCGCTGCAGCAAGCCAAACAGCTGTAGGCCGTGGGGGGGTTGGGGGGGTTGGAGGGGGGAAGGGGGTTGGGTGGGGGAGGGTAGGGAGGGGGAGGGTTTAGGGGAGAGGTTGGAAGGATGGATGACTTTCGACAGGGAACGTTTCTTGGCAGCTTGCAGATTCAAAGCGCATTCAAAAGGAAATGTGATGTGTACCTCTTCCACTTTGGGTGTGCACAGGCGCTGCTGCGGCACGCCATGCTTACATGCAGCTGCAGGGCGGGTGTGGGGTGATCTGAGTGGTAGTTAGACAACGGGGAGCTTTTCTGACGCTCCAAAATTATTAAGTTTTCTTTCTTTCTTTCTTTCTTTTTTCGTTCCTGTTTGAGAAGTGTTTTCTATTCTCCCACGTGTTGTCTGTGTGTACAGGTTCCCTCGAACTTACCTGATAGTGGGTTGCTGCAATGACGAGGACACAGCCAGGCTCAAGGGCCCTACAGTGCTGACCCACAAGGAGAGATGCCTAGCCCTCAAACACTGCCGGTAATCCTTGCGTCTACCCCCTCCCCCTGCTTCTCCCCTCTCCCCCTGCTTCTCCCCCCCCCCCTGCTTCTCCCCCCTCCCCTTGCTTCTCCCCCTCCCCCTGCTTCTACCCCCTCCCCCTGCTTCTCCCCCCTCTCCCTGCTCCTCCCACCCTCCCTACTCGCATTGCTCCGTTGGTTGCAGTTCTGCATTCCTCCTTGTGCTTTCAGACATGAACCTCTCCTTGTGCTTTCAGACATGAACCTCTCCTTGTGCTTTCAGACATGAACCTCTCCTTGTGCTTTCAGACATGAACCACTTTCAGAATTCTCTTGAACTCCGCTGGGCGCATCCTCAGTGCATGTCAACGAGCGCATAGATTTGCAGTGTGCGTAGCATGTGCATCAGTGCAAGCGCATGATTGTGTGCATGTGCGTACATCTTTGGATGTGTGCATAAACGCAAGTGCATAAATGTGCACATGTGTGCGTAAACGCAAGTGCATAATTGCGCGCATGTGTGCGTAATTGTGTGCATGTGTGCACGTGTCCTTGGACGTACTGCAGGTGGGTGGATGAGGTGGTGGAGAATGCGCCATGGGTTCTCACCGAGAGCTTCATCTCCCAACATTGCATTGACTACGTCGCACACGACTCCATCCCTTATATGTATGTACAGTAACGCACAGTTTTTCCCCCCGTTTTTTTTGTTTGTTTGTTTGTTTGTTTGTTTTTTTCTTTTTTTCTTTTTCCCGCTCACACGGTAGCCTTTCTCCTTCCTTGACGCCCTTACCTGTTTCGTTGCTCTGTTTCCTTGCTCCTCCTTGCTTTCCCTGGCAGGCAGAAGCCGGAGGGAGGTTCCTCAGACCAAGCTGAAGACGTATATGCATATGTGCGCCCCTCTCTGCTCTTCTCTCTGCACTTCTCCCTGCTCTCCTCTCTGCTCTTCTCTTCTTTCTTTTCGTTCTCTCCTCTTTTCTGCCCTGCTCTGCACTGTGTTTGCCGATTACATCATGCTTTGTTGAGAACTTAATTGCATGTGGATGGTCTGTCAGATTTTATCTTGGTCTTCAGCTCTGTCTCCATCAAAGGCGTGGTTGGGTGAGTTCCTCATCCGCATCGGACATCATGAGCTCGTACCGCACGTCATCATCAGTCGCATTCCTGGCACAATCTCACCCCCTCTCTCCCCCCCCCCCCCCTGCCCCTTTCCATTGCATCCTTCTCCATCTATACCATTCTCGCCATCCCCCTTATCCCGCCGCTCACAGGAGCGACACATCAGCTTCGGAAATCATGAGCTCGTAGCCTACATCATCCGTCGCCTCACAGGCACATCCTCAACTTCTCCCCTCCCCCCCCCCCCCCCCCCCTTCGTTCCCTTGCCCCTTTCCTTTGCCTTTCACACTCCATACCATCCTTTCCTTTCCAGGTGAAATTCCATAGCATGAAATTCATTCCCACCACGCGCACCGACGGCATATCGACCTCGGACATCATACCACACATCATCAGCCACATGGTCAAATGCGCCTTCTCCTCCTCCCTCTTTCTCCTACTCTATGCTACCATCCAGGTGAAAACCGTGGGCAATTTCATCCCCACCGCGTGCACCAACAGCAGATCGACCTCGGACATCATAGCGCGCAGCAATAACTGCGGGGTCAAGTACATCCTTTCCTGTTCCCTCTTGATCCCCACCTATATCATCCAGGTGAAGAGCGTGGGCAAGTTCATCCCCACCACAGGGCACCGACGGCATATCGACATCCGACATCATAGCTCGGATCTGTAACTGCAGGGTCAGGCACATCCTTTCCTGCTTTCTCTTTCTCCTGCTCTATATGCTACCATCCGTCCAGGTGAAGAGCGTGGGCAAGTTCATCCCCACCACACGCACTGACGGCATATCGACATCCGACATCATAGCGCGCATCATCAGCCGCAGGGACGACTACATCCTTCGCAACCTCTCCAGGGGATACCCGCCCTCTGCTCTCAGCCTCTCCTTCCCTGCTGTAAGCCCCTTTTGAGACGTCTCAACAGTTCTAAGCTGTCCTCAGACGCCTCAGAAGCAGATTGTCAACAGTTGCAGGGACGACTGCATCCTTCACAACCTCTCCAGGGGATACCCGCCCTCAACTCTCGGCCTCTCTTTCTCTGCTGTGAGCCCTTCCATGCGATAATCCCTTCCATGTGGTAATCCCTTCCATGCTGTAATCCCTTCCCATACCCCTTTAGTCTTCCCTTTCCCTCTCTTTGTCTCTTCCCTGTACTGTCCCCTCCCCTTACTGCCTGCGGTAAGCTTGATTCCTTTACGTGTGGCCGTCAACTCACTTATAACGAATGCCATTCACTCATAAAGCCGCTTCCATGCATGAGATTCAGTGTACGTGTACCCGATTATACAGATTCCCTCGCTCACGCCTTCAGGTGTGCTACTATCAAGGGAAGCTTCTTCTTGCCGACGTCCACAAGCACATCCATCGCCTAATCAGCAGGCTTGCACGCATTCCCGTCGTCGCATGGATATTCACATCAGCATGTATGTTACAATGGATGCTATGAAATATGGCATGTCATAAAATATATCGCGTATGCTATAAAAGTCACCATGCATGCATTCAACAGTGGATGTTGCATGCTGATTTTGCGTACATCTTCTTCCTGTCACCACCAACCTAGTTGAATGCATTTCACTCATCGTTCCATTTCCTTCCTCCGTTCGAAGCTTCCTTCATTCTTTCATCTCATCTTTCCCCGCATCCGCCCTTCTTTTCTTTTCTTGAGGCGTCTCAAAAACAGACTCCTCACGCATCCGCCCTTCTTTTCTTTTCCTCTCTTCCATTTCGTCCCTGCCCGGTTTCCTTTCCTTCCATTTCTTTGCATAATCCAATCTCCTACGTTTTCTGCAACCCCTCCGCTGCTCCACATCCCCGCTGCATTCTCTTTTTCAGCAACGAGCCACCACCCAAAGAAGCACTGAGGGTCTTCTGAGGTGCCTCCTGCTGCTGCTGCTGCTGCTGCTGCTGCTTCCGCCGCCGCCGCCGCTGGTGGTGCTGCCGCTACCCTGCATATAGCGACATGTGCCCCACTCCGTCACTTGGACTTGCTTCACGACACGAGGCGCCAACATACTTGCTACCCCTGGCAAACAGATAAGGGCTAAAATTTTCACCCCTGCCACTAATCCTCCCCTAGCTACCCGCCCCATACAGTTTAGAAGGTAACCTGTGGTACCAACATGAGCTACAGTACAATGAAGCTCTCAAAGAAAAAAACTGAATAATTGGATAGAGGGAGAGAACAAGTGTATATACCTAATAGTGTTGTACCCTCTAAGAGGTGACCCTATACAGTCTATACAAATATGAGTTCTACATATATTTGACACACCCCCTAGACTGCATAGGGGCAAATCCTGAACAAGCAGCTCAGGGCGGCACTACTAGTCCAGCCACTGAGACAAGGGTTTAAAGACCAGTCAAAAGGAGTACAGGCAAGATAAGAACAAGACCAGGGCGGCACTACTAGTACGGCCACTGGGAAAGGACACAAGTCCAGTCTGAGTACATATAGATAGATGTGTATAGAACAGTACAAAGTCAAGGTCCTAGCAATTGAGAGGCTACAGGAACTAGACCGAGCTGTACACAGTGCAGCTGATGATCTTTAGGCGTAAGCGCCTTCGTAAAGATATCAGCTGTGTTGGCACCAGAGGCCAAGTGAACAACGCGGGCCTGGCGACGCTGCTGTAGCTCGCGCAGGAGGAAGTACCGCAGCTGAATGTGCTTCGCTCTGCCCTCAAGCCGAGGCTCCTAACACAGGAGTATCATGGCCCTGTTGTCAGCATACAGGACCGGGGCAGAGCTAGGCCGCTCACCTAAGTCTGTGAGCAAGAAAGTCAGCCAGCGGAGCTCCTGTGCCGCCATGGCACCAGCGTAGATCTCAGCCTCACAGCTCGACTGAGCAACAGACGACGAGCGAGTGGATCTCCAAGAGATAGCACCCGAACCAAGGCTAAAACAGTAGCCCTGTGACGACCTGAGCGTCTCAAAGTCGTCTGCCCAAGAAGCGTCTGTGTGCCCAGTGAGGACCACTGGCCTACGTCCTCCCAATACTAACCCCATGCCTGATGTACAGTGGCGGATTAAATTGCCCGGATGTTTAACACTTTGAAACGTATCGTTATGCAACACATGTTTCGAAAATAGTAACACCCGTTTTTTTCCATTCTGTTACTCGGTTTTTGAGTTCTGCTTCATCCGTTTCTTGCTTGGCGCGATTGTGACACTAACGGAAAGTGGGGTTGAAATTTACTACTCGACTGTCGATGTGGACATTTCCTACCGAGCGGAAGAGTAGATCTATTTTCCCCCGTCGCTCAGTGTGTACATCGTCACGCGCACCAGTTCCTAGCTTAGTTGTTAGTCCGGAAGCGAGCCTACGACCGCATCGCTATGAAGCCGTTAAATGAGAAGAAGCGCGCGAGGATCAGAAGCATGTTGCGTGCGGGGCATTCGACTAGGAAAATAGGGAAACTTCTTGGCATAGGCAAGAGCACCGTGCACGATTACGGTATGAAACTCGCTGAGGAGACTAGTCGCGAGGAGGTGCGACCTACGATGCCTTCGGCCGGCCGCCCCCGCTTAATCACAACCCGTCTCCAGCGCGGAGTTATACGTGCGATTACTAGCGGCGAGGCGAAAAGCTCTTCAGACGCGGCCAAGATGTTGTTGGAGAAGCACGATCTCGCCGTAGACTCGAAGACGGTCCGCAACTCTTTACGATCCGCGGGGCTGATCGCCGTGCATCAGCCCAAGAAACCCAGGCTCTCACCGAAAAACATCCGCGATCGTCTCGACTTCGCGCGGGCGCATGCCGACTGGACGCTGGAGGACTGGAAGCGGGTGATTTGGTCTGACGAGACGAAGATTAACCGCTACTGCTCCGACGGACGTGCGTACGCCTGGATTCGCGAGGGCACCAGCCTTCGGAGCCACCAAGTCCAACAGACAGTTAAGCATGGGGGCGGTTCTGTGATGGTGTGGGGTTGCATGACGTATGAGGGGGCGGGGTTCATGTGCAAGATAGATGGCAGGATGGATGGGCCGCTGTATCGCAGCATCTTGCAAGATGAGCTCAAACAGACCATCGATTTTTTCAAGCTTTCCCCCTCAGAGGTCATTTTCCAGCACGACAATGATCCCAAGCACAGGTGTCGTCTGGTCCAAGACTGGCTTGGGGAGCAGGAGTACGCGGTGCTGGAATGGCCGTCGTGCTCCCCGGACCTTAACCCAATTGAGCACCTGTGGGCATACTTGAAAAGGCAGCTGGGGAAGTACGAAAAGCCGCCAAGGGGAATGCTGGAGCTGTGGGAGAGGGTGCAGGAGGAATGGGACAAGATACCGCCGGAGGTGTGTGCAAACCTGATCGACAGCCTGCCGAGGAGGATCAAGGCAGTGATTCGGGCAAAGGGACGCTGGACTAGGTACTAGTTTTCCTAGAATCTAGTGTGATACCATTTTCCGGTACAAATTGTCCACATGTTCTCCCATGCTATGCTTAGGAGTTTAAGGACCATGTGTGGTACTACTTTGGTGTTTGAACACTGGAGTGACTGCTCTAACTGAACTTCTCAGCGTTAATGCACACCGTACATTAAGGCTTAATGTATACGCCTCTGCACTCATAAAAATGCCAAAAAAGGCAAAACATGTGGACAATTTAATCCGCCACTGTACTTCCTTGTGCTTGTCGACGACTTCACTCGTTACACCACAGTCTTTCCCCTGGAGCGCAAGGCTGACGTGCCTGGCGCTCTCATCCCCTGGCTTGTCTCTGCGCGTGTCCACCGCGGTCTCCCTGTCTTGCGTCTTCACTCAGACCGTGGTGGCGAGTTTGCCTCAGGTGTCCTTGGTCGCTTTTGTCGTGCGGAGGGCATCACCCAGACGTTCACCCTACCGGACTCCCCACAGCAGAATGGGGTCGCTGAGCGACGCATCGGCTTGGTCATGGAGGTCGCTCGCACCTCCATGGTCCATGCCGGTGCACCCCATTTTCTGTGGCCGTTCGCTGTGCGCTACGCTTCTCACCAGCTTAACCTGTGGCCGCACCCTCAGCAGCCGCAGGTTTCGCCGACCCGTCTGTGGACTGGGTCTCCTGGTGACGCGTCTGCGTTCCACGTCTGGGGCTGCCTTGCTCACGTCCGTGCCTCCGGCACGGACAAGCTCACTGCCCGCACCCTTCCCTGCGTCTTCCTCGGTTTTCCCCTTGACGCGTCCGACTGGCACTTTTACCACCCGCCGTCTCACCGCTTCTTTCACTCTCGTGACGTCACCTTTGACGAGTCCGTCTCCTACTACCGCCGCTTCCCCCACCGTGGTCCCCCGGTTACCCCCCCCCTGTTCCTGGTCACCCCTTCCCCGGTAGTCCCTGCCCCTCCTCCTCCTCCTCCCCGTCCCGCCCCCTCTGGTGTCTCCCATGTCACCCCCCTTCCGTCCGTGGACCCGGTTGAGGAGTCTTCTGACTCTGGTGGCCCTCCGGTGCAGTCCTCGCCGGCCGCCCCTCCCCAGGTGTCCCCTCCCCAGTCCCCTCCTCCGCCGTCCCTGCCGCCACTGCAGCCGTCGCCGTCGCCGCCGCCGCCGCCGCCGCCGCAGTCGCAGCCCCCGTTCGCTGACTCTGGGGGTGCTCGTCCCGGTCGCCCTGAGGGTGGTCCCTCTGGGGGTGCGGGTGTGGAGAGTGCCGGTGGTAGCCGAGGAGCAGCTTGCGGTCCAGGTGTCGCCGTTGTGCCGCCGCAGCAGCAGTCCCCGCCGGTGTCCGCCCTTCGCCTGCTCGGCCTTCCGTCCCCCGACCCTGCGTCGGTTCCTCCCCGACCGTCTCCTCCTCTTCCTGTCTACGGCCCTGTTTTCCCTCCGCCGGACTCGTCCCCGGCCCGTCTCCCCCCTCGTTCCCCTCCTGTGTCCCCTCCCCTGTCTCCTGACCCGACTCCTCCATCGCACGTCTGGTCTCACCGTCCCTCCCGTGCTCGTCCTGCCTCGCCTGTCCTGCGCTCCCACCCTATGTTGCTTCGTTCACACGCGTCTCGTCCTCCCCTTCTGCCGTCGCCTCCTCCGTCCTCCCTTGTTGTTGCGCCCCCCCCGCTGTCCGACTACCTTCGTGCCGCTCGTCCTCTTGTTCCTCGGGTCCTTGCCTCTCTCGTTACCGACCCGTCTGTTCCAGTCTCGTGCCTTGACGCTCTTGTCGCTGCTGTCGCTGACTTCGCCTCTACCCGCCGCCTTGACTACGCCACCGCTCTGGTCTCTGACCCTGCCTGTCCTCCGTCTGTCGGGGGTGCTCCTGCCCTTGGCAGTGACGTCCTGGAGGACCGCCAGTTCGAGCTTGCTTTCCTCTCCGAGGCTGCTCCCCATCTCTGTTCCATGCTGCTAGTCCCTGAGGGTGACCTAGACGCTTTCGACATCCCGACCCCTCGCACTTACGCTGAGGCGACTTCGGGACCCTGGGCCTCGCAGTGGATAGCTGCCATGGAGCAGGAGATGGCATCTTGGAGATCCACCGGCACCTTCGTCGACGCAGTTCCCCCGCCTGGGGTGAACGTAGTCGATGGCCGCTGGCTCTTCAAGGTGAAGCGCCCTCCTGGAGAGCCGCCTGTCTTCAAGGCGCGCTATGTGGCTAGAGGCTTCAGTCAGCGCGAGGGGGTGGACTTCTTCCAGGTTGTGGAATAGCGAGCAATAACAGCGTCTAAGTAAGCTTTGGCCGTCTCAATAGTAGCAAAACGCGAGCGCTCGGAGACAGGAAGGGCATGGCTAATGGCTACCTGAGCGATTGCATCGCGGGAGTCCCAGACTGCACGGGCAAGCGCAGCAGTAGAGAAGGTCTCACGGTCATCAGAGGAGGGATCAGCAGGGAGGGGGGCAGGTACAGGGGGGCGGGGGAGCAAGCCGTCAACATGGACAACCAAAGAGTGGCCATCCTGACGCTGACCTGTGAGGTGGCGGCGGAGATCGGAGAGCCAGGCGGCGAAGTCAACCGCATGGCCCTCAGCGTCCAGTCGGAGCACGAAGTCCGCCATCGTGCAGGGTCAGCGGCACAGCTCCACAGTAACTCAGCTACAGCCCCCTCCAGCACAGTGGCCACGAAGTGCCTCAGCACGGGCGAGCGGAGGAGACGGAGCCCGAGGCGGCACAGCAGGACGAGCCGGGGCGAAAGGGGCAGATAGGGACGGTGGGGCCAGGCAGGCACGGCAGGGCCAGGCAGGCGCGGCGGGCCAGTCAGGGGCGGCGCGGCCAGGAGGCACGGCGGGGCCAGAAGGCGCGGCGGGGCCAGGCAGGTGCGGTGGGGCCAGGGAGGCGCGGCTGGGCCAGGCAGGCGCGGCGGGCCAGCCTGGGGCGGCGGGGCCAGGAGGCGCGGCAGGGCCAGGCAGGCGCGGCGGGGCCAGGCAGTGCGGCGGGGCCAGGCAGGCGCGGCGGGGCCAGAAGGCGCGGCGGGGCCAGAAGGCGCGGCAGGGCCAGGCAGGCGCGGCGGGCCAATCAGGGGCGTCGGGGCCAGGAGGAGCAGCAGGGCCAGGCAGGCGCGGCGGGGCCAGAAGGCGCGGCGGGGCCAAGCAGGTGCGACGGGGCCAGGGAGGCGCGACAGGGCCTGGCAGGTGCGGTAGTGCCAGGCAGAAGCGACGGGGCCAGGCAGGCGCGGCGGGGCCAGGCAGCGCGGCGAGGGCCAGGCAGGCTCGACGGGGCCAGGCAGGCACAACGGGGCCAGGCAGGTGCGACGGGGTCGAGGAGGCACGAGGGGCCCAGGAGGGGCGTGACGGGGCCTAGGCAGCGCGATGGGGCCCAGGGGGGGCGCGGCGGGGCCTAGGAGGCACGATGGGGCCCAGGGGGGCGCGACGGGACCTACGGGGCATGAAGGAAGCCCAGGAGGGGCGTGGCGGGGCCTAGGCAGCGCGATGGGGCCCAGGGGGGCGCGACGGGGCCTAGGAGGCGCGATGGAGCCTAGGGGGGCGCGACGAGGCCTAGGAGCCACGATGGGGCCCAGGGGGGCGCGACGGGGCCTACGGGGCACGAAGGGGCCCAGGAGGGGCGCGACGGGGCCTAGGCAGCGCGGTGGGGCCTAGGGGGGCACGACGGGACCTACGGGACACGAAGGGGGCCCAGGAGGGGCGCGGCGGGGCCTAGGCAGCGCGATGGGGCCCAGGGGGGCGCGACGGGGCCTACTGGGCACGAAGGGGCCCAGGACGGGCGCGACGGGGCCTAGGCAGCGCGATGGGGCCCAGAGGGGGGCGCGACGGGGCCTAGGCAGCGCGATGGGGCCCAGGGGGGCGCGACGGGGCCTAGGCAGCGCAAAGGGGCCCAGGGGGGGCGCGACGGGGCCTAGGAGGAACGGAGGGGGGTGGCGGGGCCTAGGAGGCACGGGCGGAAGCGGTAGGTGGAGGGGAACCAACCTACGGGTGATACCATCTCAAAGAAAAAAACTGAATAATTGGATAGAGGGAGAGAACAAGTGTATATACCTAAGAGTGTTGTACCCCCTAAGAGGTGACCCTATGCAGTCTATACAAATGTGAGTTATACATATATTTGACAGAAGCACCCACCCACCCACTTGAAACATATGGATCCTCTGTGTAGTGTACCTCGCATGGTTAATACCATGCGCATGACAGTTTGTCATGATACACGCATGCAATAAAGTACCTACCTATGCACACCTCAACAAAACGACAACCCACCCCACATTCCCCTTCCCGAAGGGCTCCCACCGTCTCACGGCTTTGGGTTGGGCCAGTCAGGCGTGTGATATGGTAGCAGTAGGTAATAGCTTTGAGGCACCTCAAAAGCAGTAGGTAATAATAACACAGTTCTGCTGCCATGCCACGTCTCACCACTGGGTCCCTTCCCACCCATGGCCTTGGGTCAGACCAGTCTCGCGATTCACCACCACCCTCTTGTGCCCCTCATCCTCAGACCGCTGCCAGGCCGAACCTGACACCAGGCTGAAAGACTCATGTCTGCTGTCTGCTCCCTACCCCACGCCAATGGGCCGAGCGTATTCAAACATAGAACCCATGCCTTCTTCGAGGTGGTGAAAACGTACAAGCCCCGAGGAACTACTTGAGCTCTCTGCTCCCCTCCCCGCCCCGAGGAGACTTGTGAGTGTCGACTCAAAAGTCGAATATGGAAACCGTGCCTGCTTCGAGGCGGTTAAAGAGTACATGCATGGAGGAATCACTTGCGCGCTCTGCTCCCCGCCCCAACAGAGCGAGCGTATTCGAATACAGAGATCATGCCTTCAGTCCAGATCACGAACCACTCTTCTGACGGCGCTCTTGCAAATATGGCCCCTGCAGAGGTTTCCATCAGAAACTCCAAAGCAGCCGCGTTGGTGGCTTCGGTAGATAGCAGCTGGGCTGTAGTGATGGGAGGAAAACGAAAGGGAAAAGGTGAGGCGCAGGAAAGATTTGAGGAGAAGGGGGGGGAGGGATGGGAATGGGGAGGAATTTGGGGAGAGAGAGGAATTGCTTGGATACCATACCACATCCCTCAAACGGAAGGTGAGATAGTGGGCAACAGAGATCACCGCAACAGGATTCATGCTTTGGTTCTAGACAAAGAGGTAGTGTTTTAAAGGGGCGAAAAGTTAAGGCCACTTCTGGCGCACATGATACATATGATACACATGATACACAGGATACATATGATAAATATGACGCATACGATACACATGAAACATATGATACATGTGATAACAGAGGATACACATGATACACATGATACACATGATACACATGATACATATGATACACAGGATACACATGATACATATGATGCACATGATACATATGATACACATGATACACAGGATACACATGATACACAGGATACATATGATAAATATGACGCATACGATACACATCAAACATATGATACATATGATAACAGAGGATACACATGATACACATGATACGCGCACAACACATGACACTCGCACAGACCTTGCTATTGTCATTGACACACAATAAGGACTTGCACACGTCTTCACACGGCACAACAGATGCTAATGACTTGAAGCCCAAGATTTGAACTTTGCACAGCCTATGATGTCCTTATGATGCAATGAACCCACACGCACATGCATGTTTGCAGATGCCTATGCACGCACGCACATGCAGCGACTTAATCAACCCACCTGATCTTGCCACTTTTCCCATAAGACCGTGCTTCTCCCACTTAAGGGACAACTGGACAGTGGGAGAATGAAGTAAGTCACACAGAAAAAGGAAATAGAGTGTTTGAGTGTGTGTGTGTGTGTGTGTGTGAGTGTGTGTGTGTGCACGAAAGAGAAAGAGGGGGTGGAGTGAGAGAGACAAGCGCTGGCAAGAGCGAACAAATGATAGAAGAGGGGAGGGGGAGGGGGGGGTAAGGAAATGGTGGGGGTAACACATAGGGGAATCACGCGTTGGAGAGAAATGTTCAGAACAAAGCGAGACCAATGCCAACCATACGAACATAACCCAGAAAACCCCCTCACCCCCCCCACCCCTCCCCCCTGCTTCCCCACCTCCAACGCACCCCCTCACGGATTCCCTTCACCCACACGCACCGATCCTCCACTTTCCACCACCACCATGAAGATTCTCGGCTGGCCTTTCCCCATCCCCGCTTTAGACAGCTTCACTAACGGGCACCCCTCCTGCAATGCGGCCAGCCAGAAGCTAACCGCCACAATATCATACTCCTTGCCGGCGGGGGTGGTAACGCAAGCCGATGTTAGCGATTTCAGCTTGACACTGGAGCTCTCTTTCTGCTGCTGCCCGCTTAAGTGTTCTTTCAGCTGCCCAGCGAAGATCTCTTTCAGCTGCCCAGAGGCGTCCGACAGCGATAAGGTCCGCCCGACCGTTTTCACCACAGAATCTTCAGGAGGCATCTGAACAGCAGCAGCAGGAGCAGCAGCAGCAGCAGCAGCAGCAGTAGGAGGAATCATGGTCGAACCACCGTTTGCCATGGATTCTGCTGCTGCTGCTGCTGCTGCTGCTGCGGCTGCTGCTGCTGATGCAGCAGCTGCAGCAGTGCTGAGGGTATTATCAGCGCTGACAGCAGCAGCAGCATCAGAAGCATCAGAAGCAACTGCCCCCCGAGGAACGTCAGTGGGACATTTGAAGAGAAGCCGGCTGCTTGATCGGGTCCTACGCTGCTGCTGCTGCTGTGACTGGGAATTAGCGTCAGGAGGTACGGGAAGCAATCGCGGCTGCCGTTCCTGCTGCTGCTGCTGGCGCTGCTGGTGCTGCTGGTGCTGCTGGTGCTGCTGCTGCTGCTGATAGTGGTGGTGGTGTTGCTGATGCTCTGCTAGTTGCATGGAAGACAGTGGAGGTATAGTGTATTCGGAGCGGGAAGAGTTGGACAGAGAGCTGAAAGCAGGGGAGCTATCCCCATGCGTGCTCGCAGGGGTTGGTACCAGCAGCACCGCCCTACCCGCTGCTGCCTCGGAAGGTTGATGCTCCTTCCCTAAGGAGCCTGATCCAACGCTGGAGTGTGATTCGGTGGAGATGGGATCTATCGGGTTTGAGCTGAATGGATGCGACAAAGGGAGGGCGTTTGACCCATTGTGCGCATCTGCTCCTGCTACTGCTGCTGTCAGTCCTTCTGCTTCCACTCTCCCTCCTCTCCCTTCCCCCCCCCTTCCTCCTCCTCCTCCTCCTCCTCCTCTTCCTCCTCCTCCTTTCCCCCCTGCTGCCGCTAACTGTCCTACAGTCGCCTCCCGTACCGGATCTCCCCTCACTGGTTCCGCAAACAGCATTTCGCGCTTTAACTCCGTCACCTGCGACTCCGATCGTCTGCCAGCGGGGAAATAATTAAGAGGCACCGCCTCCATACGGCCGACATGGGAGGTGTATCCGACGTGGAAGCCTCGGAGATCCCTTTCAGGAAAAGAGTAGGTTTTTGAGAATTCTAAAAAACTCTTACAGTTACAGGCGCAATAGGTTAGAAGACGGGGTTGCAGTTGCTTAAAGTGTGTTGTGGTAGACGTAGACGAAGACTGACGTAGACGGCAGCAGCACGGAAGCTGCTGAACATCTTAACGGTTGCGAAATGGAAGGCGGTGCAGCTAATACCGGGTTTCTGATCAGAATTCGGTGCTTCAGTTTATGACCAATGACCGATTACTAACGTCTATAAGCGAGACGAATGGATGGTCAACCGAAGGACTGAGCGCGGACTAGGACCATCTAAGAAAAAGCGTATAGAGCTCTTTCTATCCACCGCAATGAAGTCATGGACATAATCAGGTTGACTTCAAGACTCCTAACTCTCTCTCCTCAATCTCATAAAGCTATCATATGGAGTAAGCTGGAGCATAAATACTTCTCCCTCTTTCTCTCTCGTTCTCACGCACCACTCTCACATCTCTCCCGTTCAACCGACGGCCAGGCAGGAAGCGCGAGCCCCTAAGCGAAGTGAACAAAGCACCAGGAATTGGAAATGTGGGCCAAGGGCCCAGACCAGAGATAACAGAAGAACGACTGCAGATCAAGCCTGCATTTTCATGGAATCTACGGATTCAAGAGTGGACTAAATCGTGTAAGGGTTGAGGATGTTATGAATAAATCAGAGTAATAACAGGTAGTGTAATAAAGGAGCAGTGATTCAAGAGTGTCAATACAAATGAGGGCCTAGGCATTTATAGGCACGAACAAGGCTAGCCAAGAACCATGCGAACAGGTTGGGGCGGTCCGGTTGGCGAAAGTCACGGAAGCGCCACACGTCTACGTTTAGGTTCGCGAAATGGTTCGGGACCAACGAAGTTGGCCAAGCCTGGACTTCCGAGAGTCGAGAGCGTACGCGCTGTAGTCGAGCCCAGTAAGGAAAAGGGAATTTCCTTACACCACCCCCCCTTCCGGGATGAGACTACCCACATCCGGGACACGTCGTCGGTGTAAATAGTCACGGACGACTTTGTGTTTGCCGAGCATAGCTGCGGGGATCCAAAGATCGTCGTCAGTCGTGCGATCGACCCATCGTACAAGGAAATCAACGGCCGCTGTATCTCGATGGCCTCATACGCAATGAGCGAGAATCTTGGACGGCTCGATCGTTGGCTTGGGTACTGGGTTGGCCGTAGGATTGATCTGTTAACGGTCGAGATTAGTTGTACTCGGGACGAACGATCGCAGGAGACTGATGTGGAACGAATCATGGATTCGCCAGTCAGCCGGCAGTTGCAGCTGGGCGGTGACTGGTGTCACCATTCGGATGATGTGGAATGGGCCGCAAAATCTTGGTCGTAATTTAATTGGGAAAGGAATTCCCAAATTTCTGGCATCGAGCAGGACCAATTTGCTAGAATACTGGAATAACTAGAAACAAGAGAGAACAAGTTAGATATAGGGTTGGGTTGTACTCTCTAAGAACATACACCTATTCTAGCCTATAACTTCAATATGCAGAATGTATGTATAAATTGACACACCCCCTATACTAGATAAGGGGTGGTGCTAAGCAAGAAGCAGATAGCTCAGGGTGGCACTACTAGTCCAACCTCTGAGAAAGGGGTTCGAAGACCAGTTAGCAAGAGTACAAACAAGATAGGAGCAAACCAGGGCGGCACTACTAGTCCGGCCACTTGAAGAGGAGCCACAAGGCCAGTCTGAAAGATATATATAAAGAGGAGTACACAATCAAGGTCCTAGCAAGTGAGAGTCTACAGAAACTAGACCAAGCTCCAAGCAGTGCCGCTGATGATCTTTAGGCGCAAGCGCCTTCGTAAAGATATCAGCTGTGTTGGCACCGGAGGCCAAGTGTACTACGCGGGCCTGGCGGCGCTGCTGCAGCTCACGCAGGAGGAAGTACCGTAGCTGGATGTGCTTCGCTCTGCCCTCAAATCAAGGCCCCTGACACAGGAGGATCATGGCCCCGTTGTCAGCGTACAGAACCGGGGCAGGGCTAGGCCGCTCATCTAAATCGGTGAGCAAGAAGGTCAGCCAGCGGAGCTCCTGTACCGCCATGGCACCAGCGTAGATCTCAGCCTCACAGCTAGACTGGGCAATAAACGAGGAGCGAGTGGACCTCCACGAGATGGCACCCGAACCAAGGCTAAAGCAGTAGCCCTGGGAGGACCTGAGGGTCTCAGCGTCGTCTGCCGAAGAAGCGTCAGTGTGCCCAATAAGGACCACCAGCTTGCGTCCTCTCAGCACTAGCCCCATGCCCGATATACTTGCTAGATAACTCAAAACCCTCCTAGCAGCCAACCAGTGCAGTGGTCGGTGTCTGCCGGTGGCCACAAAGCGAGCCATGATGCTGAGAGGGTATGCGAGATCAGGAAGCGTGCAAGTCATCAGGTACATAAGGCAGCCCACCAGCTCTGCGTAAGGACCACTGGGCTCTACCGACTCCTCAGGAACAGGATCTGAGAGCCTGTGGTCTACTGGCAGAGGTGTGGGCTGTGCGGAGAAGAATTGAAGACCGAACATCTGAAGGACCTGGCGCACCAAGTGTGACTACGTGAGAGTGATGGTGTGCGCTGCTCTGTCCTTGAAGATCTGCAGGCCAAGGTAGCGGCGCAGCTCTCCTAGGTCAGTGCAGGTGTGTCTCCTCAGTAGCTCGGCCTTCACGGAGGCCAGTGCGTCTCTGTCTGCAGTAGCGTAGACCAGGTCGTCTACGTAGACAAGGATGTAGAATGGAGTCTGGCCAGCACGAACGAAGAGCGAAGGGTCTGTAGAGGACGGAAAGAACTACAGGTCAGCTAGCGTAGCACGCAATGTGTCGTGGCACTTACGGGGCGCCTGACGCAGGCCGTAGACCGGGTGTCGGAGGAGCCAATGGGTCCCAGGACCTGCTCGTGTAGGCTGCCCTGAAGAAAAGCAGTGGAGAAGTTGAGGGAGTGGAACTCGTAGTCACGCTGTGATGCTACGAGTAGCAGCACCCAAAGAGTAGTCATCTTCGGGGTCGGGTTGAAGGTTTGAAAGCAGTCCACCCCCTCTCGCTGAATGAAGTCTCTAGCCACGTAGCTCTCCGGGGGGGCGCTTCACCTTGAAGAGCCATTGGCCGTTGGCTTCTGTACGTTCACCACAGGTGGGGGAACTGCGTCGACGTAGGTGCTGGTGGATATCCAAGATGCTATCTCCTGCTCCATGGCAGCTTTCCACTAAGAGGCCCAGGGTCCCGAGGTCGCGTCAGTGGAACTGCAAGGGGTCGGGATGTCAAAGGCGTCTGGGTCACCCTCAGATACTAGCACCATGGAACAGAGATGGGGAGCAGCCTCGGACAGGAAAGCAAGCTCGTACTGCCTGTCCTCTAGGACGTCAGTGCCAAAGGCATGAGCACCCCCGACGGACGGAGGACGGACAGGGTCAGAGACTAGCGCGTTGGCGTAGTCAAGGCGGCGGGTAGAGACGAAGTCAGCGACAAGAGCGCCAAGTCTCGAGAGAGGAACAAACGGGTTGGTAACGAGGGAGGCAAGGACTTGAGGAATAAGAGGACGAGTAGCACGAAGGTAGTCAGACAGAGGGGGAGGTACGACAACGAGCGACGACGGAGGAGGCGAAGGCAGGAGGGGAGGACGAGACGCGTGGGAACGAAGCAACATAGGGTGAGAACGCTGAACAAGGAAGACAGGACGAGCACGAGAGGGACGGCGGGACGAGACAATAGATGGAGGCGTCGGGTCAGGAGATAGAGGGAGAGTAATATGAAGGGAACGAGGTGCGAAATGAGCCGGGGACGAGTGCGGGAGGAAACACAGGACCGTGGACAGGAAGGGGAGGAGGCGTCGGGGGAGGCGCAGACGAGCAGTCAAGGGAGGGAAGGTCGAGTAGACGAAGGGCGGACATCGACGGCGACTGCTACAGCTGCTGCTCGATGCCAACACCTGGACCACCAGCTGCATCGCGGCTACCTCCAGAACACTCCACTCCAGCACCCCCAGAACGAGCACCCCTAGAGCGAGAACCCTCTTCAACACCGGTGCCACCCCCGAGCCCGCCGGGACAAGCCACGGCAGGAACCCCAGGACTAGCACCCTCCTCAATGCCAGCAACCCAAGAGGCCACGAACGGCAGCTGCTGCTGCGACGGCGGTGGTGGCTGCGGCGGCGGCGGCGGCTGCTGCGGCGGCGGCGGCTACGGTGGCGAGGACTGCGACGGCGGAGGAGGAGATACCGGGGGAGAGACAGATGGCAAGAACTGTACCGCAGGGCCACTAGAGTCAGCCGACTCCTTGACTGGGACAACAGACGGGAGGCGAGTGACGTGAGACACACCAGACGGAGCAAGACGGGGAGGAGGGTGAGCAGGGGGCTACCAGTGGAGTGGGGACCAGAAATAGGGGAGGGGAAACCGGGAGACCTCGGTGGGGAAAGCGGTGGTAAAAGGAGATAGACTCCTCGAAAGTGGTGTTACGGGAGTGAAAGAAGCAGTGAGACGGCGGGTGGTAAAAGTGTCAGTCAGAGGAGTCAGGGGGAAACCGAGGAAGACACAGGGGACAGTGCGGGCAGTGAGCTTGTCCGTGCCAGAGGCACGAACGTTAGCGAGGCAGCACCAGACGTGAAACGTGGACGCATCACCAGGGAACCCGATCCAAAGGAGGGTCGGCGAAACCTGCGGTCGCTGGGAGCACTGCCACAGGTTAAGCTGGTGAGCGGTGTAGCAAACGGCGCACGGCCACAGAAAATGGGGTGCACCGTCATGAATCATGGAGGTACGAGCCACCTCCATGACCAAGCTGATGCATCACTCAGCAACCCCATTCTGCTGCGGGGAGTCCAATAGGGTGTACGTTTGGGTGATGTCCTCCGCACGACAGAGTTGTCCAAGCCGACAAGAGGCGAACTCATCGCCACGGTCGGAGTGGAGACACAGCACAAGGAGATCGCGGTGGAAGCGCGCAGCTACGACCCATGGGAAAAGAACGTCGGGCACGTCGGCCTTCGCTCCAAGAGAAACACCGTGGTGTAGCGCGTAAAGTTGTCATTGAGCACTAGAAAGTAGCGCTCGCGATGCGGTCCAGGGATGGAGGTTGGGACCCAGACGTCCAAGTGAAGGGTCTGGAGGGGTGCGGTGGCAGGGCGAAGCGAGGAGGAGTGAGGAGCATGGTGTAGCCGACCCTTGATGTAGGGCGTGCACGGCAGCGCAGGCAAGGGAGGGAGGGCAGGAAGAGACTCAGGGAGACCTAGGATGAGACCGTGCTGGGACATGTGACGCAAGCGGGGGAGTGCGGGGTGACCTAGGCGGTGGTGTCACAGAAGCGACGGGTGAGTGAGCGACCGATACGAGCACGCAGCAGCAACCTGGGTAGACGCAGGACCCGGAGGGGAAGGTCCACCCGGGGGGGAAGCAGTGTCCAGCATAAAGAGGCCAGTCACCGGGTCCTGAGGGAACGTCGCAAGGGGGAAACCTGAGTCGGCCTCGGTACAGACGGCGTACCGCTCGTGACCCGGGAAGGTAGCGGTGACGCTGAGGTCCTGAAGACAGCCGACACCAACTAAGTTCTAGGAGAACGAGGTGATGTGCAGGCCTGTAAGGGAACCCGAGGGAATTGCTGGACAGGGAAGGGTAGTGTAGCTGCGCGCAACTACATGACCAGGGGAGGGGTCAGCAAGTGCGACAGCAGCAGGCGCGGCAAGTGGCGTAAGCGCAGCATGGTCGCGGAAGAAGCAGGCAGACACACCGGAGTCAAGTGTGAAGGACAGCGAAGCAGAAGCGGCAGCCGAAGGAGGAGCGAGTGTGGAGCCTAGGCTAGACAAAGCAAACGGTCCTATGCCTGATATAGCAGGGGAGTCTGTACGCCTAAGCTAGAGAACACAGGACAATAAGATCCGGACACACTAGAAGCGTCAGCATACAAAGAATGCAGGGCAGAACTAATCTGATCCATGTCTAAGTCAAATACGGGCACACCGTGATGGAGGAGACTGGGCCAGTCGGCGAGGTCGGGGGCCGGGCCAAAGCCGCGACTGAAGAGGTCGTCGAGGCGGCGGAAGCAGCGGGCGGCGGCACACAGTGCCATGGAGGGGCCCGGTCTGGAGCTGGTACTGGCAGCCCACAGCACCGAAGCCGCCGGTAGACGCCAAGCCGCGGGGACCACCACCGCGGCTGCCACCTACAGGGGCTCCTAGCCACCTCAGTGGGAGGCGGGCCCACGGCTGCTGCTGCTGCTGCTGCTGCGGCTGCGACTGCTGCTGCTACGTCTGCTGCGGCTGCTACTGCTCCTGGACACCTACCCCAAACCCCTTGTCAGAGCCACTATCACCGCCACCACCACCACCACCACCACCACCACCACGCCCTCCCTGGGGGCCGCGACTACCCCGACGCTGTCGCTGCTGCTGCGGGAAGGCCGCCGCTGCGATGTCAGTGGCAGGAGCAGCCGTAGCGAAGTCGGTGGACACGTCAGCGTACGTGCACTGGGAGGGAGCACAGCCTTGAAAGGTAGGGACTGCCGCAACACCGCTCGACTGAGTGATAGTGCGCTGGCGAGTCTCTATCTCAAAAAGGGCAATGACAAAGGCGGTCAGGGTGAGGTCACCAGGGTGCTGGCTAAGGAGGTGGTCGCGGGCAGTGGCTAAACGGTTAGGCAGGTGCATGGCAACAAGGTACAGGGTAGCGCAGAATGGTGGGGGGAAGGCAATGAGCTGGGCATTAGTGCTGGCAGCGCGGTAGCTAGTCTCTAGTGCACGGAGATGAGTGGCAAGATCAGTGATAGTAGGGAAAGCAGAGAGATCGGGGAAGAGCATGGGGAGGATCAAGCGTGAGGCGGAGGCAGGCGTGGAGTAGCGTGCAACTACTGCATCTAGGAAGTCTTTGGCATTTGCTACAGCAGTGAAGTGGGAACGCTCATATAGGGGAAGCACATATCTAATGGCATGCTGCGCTACAGCATCGCGAGCTAGTGCAGCAGCAGCAAAGGCCCCACTCTCAGCAAAGGTGGGGTCAGCAGGGAGGGGATCAGGCGGGGGGGGGGTGGGGAAGCAAGCCATCAACATGCATAGCCAGGGAGTGCCCATCCTGACGCTGACCTGTAGGGTGCCGGCGAAGATCGACAAGCCAGGCGGCGAAGTCGATCGCGTGCCCTTCCGCGTCCAGGCGTAGCATGGCGTCCGCCATCGCGCAACCTGAGCGGCCCCGGGACACAGCGGCACAGGGACACACTGGCGCAGCAGCACAAGGACACGGGTACTCAGCTGCTCGGCGGTACAGTGGCGTGGCGGCAGAACTCTCCGGAACAGGGACCGGGTGCGCGAGGAGCCGTAGAGGCGGTACGAGCCGCCGAGGCGGTAGAGGAACCGGCGGCGGCGCTAGTTGGTGCTTGTGAGAGTACGACCCCGTTACACTAATTTCCCCTTTCCATACTTCCTTTCTATTTCATTCCTCTTTCAATCCTGATTCATTTGGTCTTTATCTCATCTCATTTGGTTTCCTATTCCTCCTTTTCCATTATCCTTTGGTTTATCCTGTTATTATAATTATATCACCGACCAGGCTCGGGATGTACTGGCGCGCTATATCTAGCGTAATCATGTCGTAAACCCTTAAAGCCAATAGCCTCGCGTGGCTATACGCAGGGTGATTCTATTTCTACAAGGGTCTATTTCCTTTGGATAGGATAAACCTGGTTATCTGATGTACTCTGGAAGTATAAAAGCACCATGTACTGATTGATAGTGCAACATTGAGCAAACCTTTCCTCGGGACATTCGATCCTGTGACAGTGCTGGCTAAGCTTGAAGGGCCGGCTAGGCACGAGGGGCCGGCTAGGGCGCTAGGGGGCCGGCTAGGGCGCGAAGGGCCAGCTAGGAGGACGGCTAAATAGAACAAGCAAGATATAGGGTTGGGTTGTACTCTCTAAGAACATACACCTATTCTAGCCTATAACTTCTATGTGCAGAATGTATGTATAAGTTGACACAATTGCCCAGGGGCAAGTGTTAAATCTCGATGTCATCGGTCAGCTTGCTACTTAGCCCTCTGGTTGGCTTTGAGGATGGCATCGGCGGCTTTTTGCTGAGACTGTCGGAGGTTTTCGACGAACGGCTGAGATCTTGGTGCCGGGTTTTCTATCGGGGGTGATAGAGGGGTTGTCGGATCCATCCCGTGATTAAGGAAGAACGGGGACTGCGTAGTCATGGCCGATGGGGCGTTGTTGTACGCAAACTCGATCAAGGGAAGGGTGTCTTCCCATTGGGCCGGGTCTGTGCACGTTGTGCGAATCAGCTGCTCCATCGTCTGATTGGTGCGCTCAGTTTGGCCATCCGATTGCAGGTGGTACGCCGTTGTCAGATGCTGGCGTGTGCCGTACTGCTGCCAGGTTTTTGTCCAGAAGTTGGACGCGAACCGTGGGTCACGATCGATGATGATTGCCGAGGGGATGCCGTGTAGCCGCACGATGTTCGTGAGGAACAGTTTCGCTGTCTGCTCGGCAGTAATTGTCGTCTTGCAGGCGGCAAGGTGGGCCATCTTGGTCAACCGGTCAACGACGACGAGGATCGTGTCGTTACCGCTTGGACCAGCTGGCAGGCCATTGACAAAATCCATCGTCACTTGTTGCCAGGGTTGGCTGGGTGGCTCTAGCGGCTACAGCAATCATGCAGATAAAAGTCGTGACAACTTCATGAGCTGACACGTGGCGCAGGAGGTGACGTACTGCTGCGGATCTGTCGGCAAATCGGGCCAGTAGTAATTACGACTCAGTAATTTGGCGGTTTTGTCGTTGCCGTAGTGACCTGAGAAATTCGAGTCATGCCTCCTGGATAAGTAATTCCCGTAGGGTATGGTAAGCGGAAACCCAAATCCGATTGGTACCGGATTTTAGGTAATAGGCCCCTTGCTTGTCCATCAATTGGGGATGATTGTTAGTGGTGAAGAATGGGTCAGTACTGTATCAGTGGGTGAATAGGCCAGTTAGCAGCGGATTAGCTTGGGTAATTAGGACGGCGACGGTGTGGACTAAAGGGCGGGTCAGTGCGTCAGCGATGTTGCTAACCCCCCGTTTATGGGTGACTCTGTAGTGGAAGTTGGACTCGAGGTAGTCGAGCCATCGAATCTGTCGGGGATTAAGTGTTGGTTGGGCACGGATGAACTGTAGCGATTTGTGGTCTGTTCGGACAGTCACGTCAGCGCCCGTCAGGTAGCAGTGCCAGACTTTGAAAGCGTAAACGATGGCGAGTAACTCCTTGTCATGGACAGGATGATTTTGCTCGGCCAGGTTCAGCTTTCGTGACTCGTAGGCGATGGGTGGAGGCTTTCGCCGAAGTCTTGTAACAGTACTGCGCCAATGGCCAGATCGTTAGCGTCGGTGATGAGCTCGAACGAACGGTGAGGATCTGCAAATCGAAGAGCCGGAGGTGTAGTCAGGAAAAGTTTGAGCTGTTCGAACGCAGCCTGCTGCTCTCCCCCCCACTCATAAAACTTGCCCTTCTTCAGGAGATCCGTAAGAGAGGAAGTGACCCCCGCCATGTTCGGAATGAAACGGCAGACAAAATTAACAAACCCCAGAAAACTCTGAAGTTCGCGGAGATTATCTGGCGGCTTCCAGTCTTGAATTGTCGCAATCTTCTTGGGGTCGATTTTAACATCGTCGATGGAAATGACTTGGCCCAAAAACTCCAGTTCATGTTTGAGAAACTCGCACTTAGAGCCCTTGGTGATGAGTCGGTGCTGCTGCAAGAGAGAGAAAACTGCGGTCAAATCCTTCAAATGCTGCTCCCGGGTAGTTCTGTAGACCAGTATGTCGTCGAGGTACACGATGACGCATTTATCCAGCAGCGGCCGAAAAACCTCGTTCATGGTTAACTGGAACGTCGAAGGCGCGTTTGTTAAGCCGAAAGGCATAACCATGTACTCGTAACCCTCGTACCGGGTCCGAAACGTTATTTTGTAGTAGTCAGCTTCGTTGACGCGGATTTGGTGGTAACCGCCTCGCAGGTCAATTTTCGAGAAGAACTTGGCTCCACGAAGTTGGTCGATGAGTTTGTCGGCACGCAGAATAGGATAGTGAGACTCGATGGTAACCCGGTTCAAGGCGCGGTAGTCAATACACATTCATAGACCGCCATCTTTCTTCGGGGTGAACAGTATTGGAGCCGCAAACGGTGAGGTGCTGGGGCGAACGGAACCTTTCTCGAGCAGGTAGTCCAGCTGGCTTCAGAGTTCATCCAGCTCGGGCTGAGTCAATCGCCATTGAGTCCGAACAATAGGCTACATGCCGGGCTCTAGCTCGATTTTGTGGTCATGTTCTCGCTCAGGTGGCAAACCCGCCGGTAGGTCGTCTGGAAAAATGTCGGCGTGTTTTCGAATTACCATTACCAAGTCATCCGGAACAGCTACGCAGAGTTTGTCGATGTCGGTCAGCATGTCGACAGCCGTTGATGCGATCCATCGGACGACATATAGTTGCGCCCCTCGAATCATGGCTTGCTTAATCATCACTGCGCTGACCGTCAATGTGGTCGAATCTTGACAGCTCCACTTGGGTAGTCGTCGCCACTCGCCACTCCATTTGATGCGACAATTGCCCGTCCGCCAGTCAATGCTCAGGTTGTATTCTCACAGCCAATCGCATCCCAGCAGCATGTCGCAGCCGTCCAAAGTTGTCGCCAGTATCTTCGTCGTGAAACTGAATTTTTTGCCGCATGTTACTCGCACGTGAGGTACCCGCATGTCACGTCTATCAAACTGTGGCTCGCCCCACCATCAACGAATATTTTGATGCGGGTGTCGCCGACTCTCCCTTCACAGGGCGATCAACCGGTTCACCCCCCTTATTCAGCCAGGAATGGTCGATAGCCCAAATCGACACAATAACTCGGTGAGGGTGGTGGCGTTTGGGCGATGCAGTCAAGTCAGTAGGTGGCCCATCTGCTACTGACGATCTCCATTTCCCGACTGCTTCTTGTCGTTAGCTAAGTTCTTCTTCAACTGCTGGCAGTCCCTCACCATGTGACTCGGCTGGTTGCAGTGGAAGCAGGTTCCCGAAAATACTCGGGTTGCAAACACGTCCACGCCGTTGATTGATGTGTGTTGGGGCTGGCCTCGAAAGCGATTTCCCTCCCGGAAACCCGCTCTTGCGAGTCCACGTCGTGCGTCCAGCGCGTCTGCTATGCGAACTATTTCGTTGAATGTCGCCGGGGCTCGCATGGCGATCTCTTGTTGAATCTCCGGTTTGAGACCACCCACGTAGCGATCAATACGCTCGTCTTTGCTAAGCTTTTCGATTTGGTCGCAGATTGCCAGAAATGACGTTGTGTATTCTTGGGCAGAGCCCAACTGTCTCCACATCTGAAGCTTTGTGCGAGCATTTTCGCGCATGAATATGTGCTCGAATCTGCCCTTCAACGCTTCACCCCACGCTTTCCACACGGCGGATTGTGGCCGACCCAAAGATCGGTTCTGCCTTCGCCATTGATGAACTGTGCTCATCTACCGCCCATTGATTCCCTGCCGGAGCTCCTCCCTCATCAAGATGCATGCGCCACCAGTCGAGTGCCGGTCCCCTCAGCAGCGACACAGCCAAGTTGACACGTGATGCGTTGTCATTAATACTTGCTGCCGTGAATAAGATTTCCATGGCGAACAGCCACCCGCTCACTGTAGTTGTCCTGTCGGTCGGGTTGAACGGTGGTGGCATCGGAGGTTTGATTTTAATGGCCGCCCGTGGCTCACTGTGGACTTCTTCAATTGCTTCACGTGTCGCCGACGCCCTCGCTTCGCTCGCAGCATCTTTGTCTCGGGTAACAGGCCGCTCCTGATGCGTTTCACCCTGTGTCTGGCGAAGCGACGAGTTTTCGTTGCTCAGCGTCTGCACTTCGCTTCCCAGCGACTCGAACTTATCGGCAAATTGTTGAAGCTGGGCCTGCAGTGTCATCACTGTAGCCGCCCTGGCTTGCAACTCGTCAAACTCCTCCTGAGTCACGTTCCTAACACTACGACGGGCAGAGGTTTCCGGTGTGGTCATGTTGGAAATTTTACCTGACAGATCTGAGGGTGCACACGTTTTTAGTTGGAGGAGCTTTCACAAGCTCGCCTACCAACCACAGGCCAACCCTCTATTCTGTCGGGTCCTCTCTCGATATAAACGCACTACTCTACAGAAGACTAAGCGGGCTAGAACGGGGCTCTTATACCAACTGTTATGAATTAATCAGAGTAATAACAGGTAGTGTAATAAAGGAGTCGTGATTCAAGAGTGTCGATACAAATGAGGGCCTAGGCATTTATAGGCATGAACAGGGCTAGCCGAGAACCACGCGAGCTGGTTGAGACAGTCCGGTTGGCGAAATCCACGGAAGCGCTGCGCGTCTAGGTTTGGGTTTGCGAAATGGTTCGGGACCGAAGAAGTTGGCCGAGCCTGGACTTCCGAGAGTCGAGGGCATACGCGCTGTAGTCGAGCCCAGTAAGGAAAAGGGAATTTCCTTACAGCGGAGCTATCTTTGCAAGTTTTGCATTTTATAGCATGTTACTTTGCATTTTACATCAAGATCATGACTATTACCATTTGATGTGATATTATTTTACAGTTGTGCATGAAGTGTTGTTATATTTCGTTTTATATACATCCCTGCTTTTCATCACTGTACATCTGATGTTTTAATAGTGCAACTCATTTTTTCTTCTAGGTTTGACAGAATCAACTCGGAAAACAAGGGTTGCTAAACCATGATGCCAAGTACCGAACCAGATCTACTGGACAAAACTCCATCTCTCCACCCATTGTGCTTGTCAACTTATACATATGTTTATATGTAGAGGTTATAGGCTAGATAGGTTTGTGTTCTTAGAGGGTACAACTCCCACCCTATATCTCCCGTGTTCTCACTTGTTCTAGTTTATTCTGCTAATCTAACATGGTATCTGCTATAATAGGTTAGATAGGTGCATGCTCTTAGAGGGTACAAGCACTTGAACAAAATCAACCTATATGCCTTATTCTAGTTAACTTTTCTACTCTGAGATGGTATCACGCGCTAGGTTAGGTCCTCCCCGCCCACCCGCGCTTCCGCTCTCGTCCTAGTCCTAGCCGCCCGCCCTCTAGCGCCCCATCGGCCCCGTGCGCCCCACCGGCCCGTTAGCGCCCTTCCGGCCCAGTTAGAGCACCGTCGGCCCTGTGCGCCCCCTCTGGCCCGTTAGCGCCCTGCCGGCCCCATTCGCTCCCTCTGGCCCCGTGCGCCCAGTTGGCCCCGTTAGCGCCCCTCTGGCCCTGTATGCCCCGCCGGCCCGTTAGCACTCCGCCAGCTCGTTAGCGCCCTGACGGCCCAGTTCGCGCCCCGTCGGCCCCGTGCGCCCCTCTGGCCCCGCTCGTCCCACCGGCCCGTTAGCGCCCTACCGGCCCGTTCGCGCCCTACCAGCCCCGTTAGCGCACCGTTGGTCCCGTGCGCCCCTCTAGCCCTGCTCGCCCCGCCGGCCTGTTAGCGCCCCGCCAGCCCCGTTCGCGACCTACCGGCCCTGTTGGCGACCTACCAGCCCCGTCAGTGCCTCATCGGCCCCGTGCACCCTGTCGGCCCTCGCCAGCCGGCCGGCCAGCCAGCCAGCCAGCCAGCCGGCTCCGGCCTAGCTGGCCCCCGCTTCAGCGGCCAGCCGCCGGGCCGTCGAGTCATAGCGCCGACCCACCGGCTCTGGCTCCCTTCAGCGCCGGCTTCCCTGCCGGCTGTCTCTACTGATCTCCACCGCTCTCCACCGCACTCCACCACACTATACCGCACTCTACCACTCTCCACCACACTCCACCACACTACACTGCACTCCACCGCTCTTCACTGCACTCCACCGCTCTCCACCATACTCCACCGCTCTCAACCGCTTCCTCCACCTGTCCTCCTCACTCTGTCAGCGGCCGTCAGCAGCTGCAGCAGTGGCGATGGCGGAGTCACAGCTCCGTCTGGACGCAGAGGGTCGGGCGCTCGACTTTGAGGCGTGGCTGGTCGACCTTCGGTGTCACCTTATAGGTCAGCGCCAGGATGGTCACTCCCTGGCTGTTCATGTCGATGGCCTGCTTCCCCGCCCCCCTGCGCCAGCTGCCCTCCCTGATGCCCCCACCACTGCTGAGCGTGAGGCCTTTTCCGCTGCTGTGCTTGATCGTGCTGTCTGGGACTCACGCGACGCTGTCGCACAGCTTGCTATCAGCCATGCGCTCCCGCTGTCTGAGCGTCCTTGCTTTACCACTGTAGCGAACGCCCAGGTCTTCCTAGATGTTCTTATTGCACGCTATTCCACCCCCATGACTGCCTCGGCTGGTCGTCTGATCCTTCCCATGTTGTCCCCTGATCTTGCGTCCTTCCCCACTGTCGCCGACTTTGCCACGCACCTCCGCGCGCTTGAGACGAGATACCTCGCTGCTAGCACTGAGGCACAGCTCAATGCCTTTCCGCCGCCATTCTATCTCATCGCCACATGCCTCCCTGACCGCCTAGCCACAGCCCGCGACCACTTCCTTAGTCAGCACCCGGGTGACCTCACTCTTACCGCCTTTGTCACTGCCCTATCTGAGATAGAGACCCGCCAGCGTAGTATTGCTCAGTCTAGCGGTACTGCGGCGGTATCTATCTTTCAGGGCTATGCTCCCTCCCTGTGCACTTACTCTGATGTCTCTGCTGCTGTTTCTAAGACCGCTGCTGCGGCCTCAGTGCAGAAGCGTCCGGGTAAGGATCGCCGCCCCAAAGTGGGGCGTGGTGGGGGCAAGGGGGGTGGCGGTGCGGAGGGTGGCGCCTGTGGGGCAGGGACGGTGGTTCAGACGAGGGGACTGAGGTTGGTGACCTAGAGCAGCCACAGCAGCAGACGCAGCCTCAGCAGCAGCCGCAGCCGCTGCAGTAGTCACCATGGGGACCCCCGCCGCCGTGGTGGACTGGCGGCGGTGGTCGTGAAAGGGGCAGGAGCAGCTTGGTGTCGGGTGGCAGCTCTAGCGCGGTCACCTGCCAGTACCAGCTTCAGACTGGCCCTCGCCGCGGCATTGTCTGCCTCTGGCCCGGCCACACCGCCGACCGCTGCTACCGCTGCCTGGACGACCTGTTCCGCCACCGCTTCGGTCCTACGTCGGACCCTCTAGACTGGTACGCCCTGGC